CTGACCCTCGGAAATCTCGCGTTTATCCAACGCGAAGCTTGGGCCCGCATTCCTTTATTGGCCATTTGCCTGGCAAATTTCCCACTTGTCAACGGAAATTGCCAACCGGAAATTATTGTATGTGACAATGGAACTGAATTGCGAAAGAACATTTTCTTACGCAACTATATTAAGGTAACACCCTTCTTCAGCAAGGATATTGCGGGGCACTCTTTTATTTCAGACCTTATTTCTGAAATTTATTATCTTAAAGTGCTGAATATGAATTTTAATTGAAATTTCCATCTTTTTCATACAATTTTTTTATATTTCTAGGCTGAGCTACGTTTTTTTTCATAAATAACACTTTTAGCAATTTCAAACAATATATTTTTGGTTAAGCTTTTGATCTTTAAAGCAAAATTATGTTGGAATGGAATGTTTTTCTAGTACATTTTTGTAATTAGATAATATAATTATTTCAGTCAATCAGGAAAAAAGCTTTTCAAGCCATAATTTAATTATAAGAGCACCGAGATTTATACATATCTGCCTCACCTGAGTGTCTTTTCCATCACCACACCTTGCATTAATAATCGAATTCAATTTCAAAAGAAAATGTAAATAAATAGCTTAATAAATATAAGCCGAAATTTGTATACCCTTTAAGTTAGTTACTTTATAAAGACCGCTCAAAAGTTATGAAAATATAATGATTCCAATTCCAATTCTCCCACCACAAAGCCTTTGTTTGTCTTCGACAGATGGCCTTTCATTGAATTTTTTATAAAACAATTTAATTTAATACACATTGAATTTAGCCTAATTTGTTTTCGTTTCTTATAGCGTGTTGCCTTGAATTTCTGTTTTGGTCCTGTTTCTCGCCTGGGGATTTGTGGATAGTCCTTTGAAAGCACATGTATTCGTACGGATGCAGAGTGTGAGGCGTTTGCATGTGAGTTTGCGGTTGCTCCTGTGCCTTTCATGCAAATGAAGACCCATACAAAACCCATCGACTTCCATTGTTTCGCTGCGTTTTCTCATTTTATTGCCTTTTCCTTTTATTGGTTGCTATTGAAATTGAAATACACGACAAAAATACAGAGCAGGACTCTTATTTTTTGTTGTTGTTCTGCTATTGAAACGCAAATAATTAAAAAACTGACTGTCTACATGAATTAATTATTTGTGTATCAAGAGCTCTCTGCTATTAGTACCGATGGAAAATGTAATTTAACTTCTGAAATGGAAAAGTTTTCATTTACTCACTGTATTCTGTACATTCCTCTTCTCAATGCGCAACTTTGTTAATTAACCATGGACAATTTCAGTGAAATATAAACAAAGAAACAACCAAGGCAGGTTTAATGGGATGGAATGAGAAGCTGATTGGTACCTTATTCAAGATTGAAAACTTGAAAATGCTAAACTAAAGTTAAATTACATAACAATGGTGAGTTTTAGATTATAGAAACTAAAGAAAAATTTATTAAATTTTGTATTTAAAACATATGAAATACAGTATTTTCTTATTTATAGATTTTTCGTGTAATCACCAGATATTCTTTCTTCGTTTTTTTACGTAAATAGGATTTCCCAGAAGGCAGAGTAATTCAATACGTGCTGCATGCTTTCCATTTCCCAATAAAGATCTTAACTGACAGTTTCATCAATTTCTATATGTACAAGTCTTCGCCCTTAACTTGGCTCTAATTTTAGCTGAACAAATTAGCTGATTGTCTTGCCGATTAGCTATAAGTTTTCGGCATAAAGCAAAATTACAGCAAATATGCAAATATTTATTTTCACACTAAGCTTTGACGATAATGCCGCGGAATAGCCTGCAGGTTGAAGGCAAGCAGAGCAGATAAAAGGCATCGTGCAACAGGACAAGCAATTGCTTTTAATGCCCATGATTAGGATGCTTAAACTGAGCTACTTCACTCTGTTTTCGTTGTCTACTTTTGGGCCATTTAACCAACAAGCACAAGTTAAAATGCTTTTGTATTTGGCTCAAAGAGACAGAGAGAAAGGGGGGGGAGAGCCGATCCAAGCACGCACAGGGATTGTTTAATGGGGCGTATGAGTAACGCTCGGTGTTTGGAATTATCAAATTAATGCCTGTACCAGTTTACCTCCCATTTTCTTCTTCTAGTCTATTTTCGCCTCAGAAAAAGTTGCGTTTCCTTAGAAAACTTTATCCTGCTTTTGCCTGCCGGTATTTTACTAAGTACGAGTATTTTAACTTTTTTATTAAATACGCCCGCGCAAGCTGGCCAAGTTTGTTCCTGTTGCACAGTCTGCCTCAATGCCAGTTAGCTTATTAAATAAATATTTGGCATAACTTTTGGGGTATCCAATTGACTACATCAAAATGGCAAAAAATCGCTGGAAAACAAGTGCACAGTGCCTGAAGAAGATTACACTGTTTCCCTATAAAATTGTGTCTGTTTTAACGGCCTAATAGATATTTAAACCCAAATTGGGTCATTAAAATGGCTGCAAAAGGTACTAAACATTGGGCACTTCAATGAAACTCGTTAAAAGTTAACTTGTATTTTAAAATAAAACTTTTACTTGATGTCAAACGGAATATAATTTTTTAAAGAAAATATTTATATAAACAATATACAACAAAATAGCTCAAAGCACCGTCAGAAAAGAACTGCTCAAACATTTCAAAGTGGTTTACAGAGGTATTTGTTTTGTACATTTTATTATATTTTATTTGCCTCACAAAAATGTCATCTAATTCCTTATACTTACCGAACCAATTGTCTTGAATGATCTTAACTACTTAATTTATGTTTTTTGCTCTTAATATATTCCCACTTTTTATCTTGATTTACTAAACTGGGGCTACTTAGAATTATGAAATGTCTTTTACCATACTCCTGGCACTTTGCCCTGCAATCTCTTTAGAACATCTGGCGCCATTAAGCTAACCATTTTGCCATTTGAATAGGTCTCCATTCGGCCATTAGTCTACCAGTTGCCGGTTAAATATCTAGACAAAACAAAACCAGAGACATTCAAAACAGACGTTGCGGTGCTCCTCCCTTAATTATTTGAAAAGGGTAGGCTCGTGGTAAGTTGAAATGGAAACTGCCTGGAATTGGCTCTCAAATTGATTGCGAAAGCGGCATCACATGGTCGGATGACGAAATGAATAACTAAAGCCGCCGCATCTGTGAGTCAGTTCACCGCCAGAGAAGTGGGAAAATAAGGTGTCAATGATTGTGTGCGGGTTATTCGACAAGGCAGAAACGTTTAAATAAAACTCAACCTCAACCGCATAAAATGGTTGTTGTTACTGGGATTAAAATGACAGATACAGGGACTGTTTGAAGATTGTGGGAAAAGGTATAACCTTTTTGAAATTGGAATCAGGAATTTACTTAATTTTGCAATGCAATGTGTTGAAGGAGAACCTTGATCTTAGAAATGCAATATATAATACAACTTTTGATTTGACTTTTATTTCCAAAGATATATAAACTACATATCCCTTTTCCTTTCAATACAAAGAAGCGAATTCCTAGATCGAACTTTGTATGGCTACTCTGTTCCTTATGGTGAATAGGGGCACGTCCTGCGATGCATTGAAAGTGCAGGGAATATCCACTGTCGCAGAATTGCAATTGGATGTGACAATGTCTGTCCATAAATACAGGCCAGGCACGTAGAAGTGACGTGCATGATGATGTATCGTATAAGTTTCGCCCCTTGATTTGATCTGGGGCTCAACATTCAATAGACCATCCACACACAAGTGAGCCAACAAAAGTTACGGCCGCTTGCCTAGCAGTATTGTTGGCCAATACGAATCCCTATCCCTTCCACGTGCCAAAGTTGGTTTTTAGCAGGATTCAGTAGTTGGCAGTCCGGTGAAATCTGTGTTCGCTATTAAATACCGTTGTAAAGCAACCGGAATTTGTTTACATCCTTAGGCCAGTGAGCAGGTTATTGGTAATGGTGTTGGCCCTCATGCAGAATTCGAGACACGTCCGTGACATGTTCGTGTTCGTATTCATACTTGTGTATTTATTCTTCGTTGACACACGGAGCTCCTTTCCAATGGCCTCATATACTATGGGGCAACCAGTGCACGTTTCAATAAATTACATTTAAAATATAAAATAAGAGCACAACATGGTGGAGGAGTAGGAAACCCACAGGGAGGAAACTGAATTTGGGAGGGACCAAAATCCTATTATTGAAACTAGCTCAGGAAAAGGCTCTGCATATAAATACAATTTTCTTAAAGCTCTTTTTCTTCAAAAAACATATTTGAGATACAGTAGCAAGCTTAGAATTAATTATCCGAATTTCATATCCATGCATTACACATGCAAAACATTGAAATGCCACTAGTTATTCATAATATTTGTCTTAGTCAAATAAAACTCCATTATACTAAACGCATGTACTTTGTTTATTCACCCAATTTGACTTGAAAGCCATAACAATTCAAAGAAAAGTAATATGGCCATAAATTAGCGAAAAACTCATCAAATTATTTCCATTTAATTTTATGCTGGGAAGCTACCAGTCTACAATTTTCGCGGAATATACATGTAGCGCCAGCCGTCCTAGGACCTCAAACTACAGAACGCAATGATTTGTTCTATTCGGTTCCGCTTCTCTGTAGGTATATAATTCATTCATAAAATACGCACGATTCGGAGGGGACGGGAACCCGTGCCAGAATCACGTACCAAATGTTGACAGCCATAGATAGAGCCAAAGCACGTGGCCAACTGCCCGCACCCTGTGCTTGTAGCCCCTAGAACAGCGGCAATTTCCACGCAGAATTTCCCAAACAAACCCAGGAAAATTTCCCACTGTTCCACACCAGAGAAACAGAGAGAGAGAAACAGAGAGTAATTCGCAAAGATGAGCGGAAAATTAAGAGAGCGTACGACGTCGACGACTGCGGCTGCTGCTGTTTTCCACTTGGCTGTCGGAGCCAATGGACCAGTTTGGAAAATTCACACAGTCAGTTTGTTTTGAAATTTCGCCGCGCTAGGTTCGCCTCCGAGGGTTCACTGCTTCCTACCAAAATATATTCTAACATACAAAAAAGTACTTTTAAAATAAATAAACAAAAATAATTATAAATAATAAATAAGCAACAACAAAAACTCATAAAGTGTTTCGGATAAGCTAACCAATTTTCAACGGTTTTCATGGCAAGCAAAAAATGCGACTATATTTAAATTTGTTTTTAAAAATGTTTGCTCTCAACTATTGTTCTTATATAAAAAATAAAACCTAAACATAAAAAAAAATCAGCGACAAACAATCATAAAATAACTCGCTTACATGTGCGGCTTTAGGTTAAAGTTATTAAAAAAGCTTTGAAAATTATAAATGCAGCTGCAGCTAATTATAAGCTTAAAATGTGAAATATTAAGTAACAAAATGTGGGGCATTTCCAAAAAAAAAAATATAGATTATAGCCACTAAAAAAGGTATATTTTAACCTTTACGTTTAAATATATTGTGCACCCAATGGATTTATTATCTCAAAGGAAACTGTGAATAAAAAGTAAGTAGCTTTGACACTAGCTCTTAATCCAAATAAGTAAATTGTTCCAGAACGAATTTATAAGTAAACATATTTGACTGAAGTTGGAAGTGGAAAGAGGCGTTCTTTAGAATTTAGAATTCTTTAAAATTTTAAAAATTTACAGCAGCACAGGAATTGATAAACAAGAAGTCTAAAACTACCTTAATCATCTTCATCTTTAAAAATGTATAAATTTAATGTTTGTGAACCCAAATAATACATTTAAATTAAAAACATAAATTTCAAATATTGTCTTCAAGACTTTACTCGTATTCCTTACTTTTTAACGACCCAACGTAAAAGTTAGTCAGTTTGTTTAATCAAGCTGAAGTGAAACAATAAGTTAAATGCAGGGAAAACACAGCACGCAACAAATGCAAATTAATTAAAATAAATAGCTCCGAGTGCTTTTCACCCGTGCTGGGTGTGTGTGTGTGTGTGTGCAAGTGTAAATGTACATTTTCGTGTTCGCAATCGAGTTTGTCGTGTCTTTGCAAATAAGGGCCAACGGAGGAACCACGTCTAAGCCAAGGGAAGAGAAAACCTTGCACCGATTACGTAATTAAAAGCAAATGTTCACAATGTCCCTGGTCCGCGTCGTGACTCACAGAAAAATTTGTAACGAAAGGTAAACAGCATTAAAAAGAATATTGGCCGTAATGCAAAGGGAATGAGAAAAATCCGTGAGCTTATCCAGGACCAAAGTCACCCAGCGAAAATTAACTTAAAGCCAAGGAATCTCGCAATCTCGCAATCTGTCCCCGTTTTCTCGGTTTTTGCACTTCCTATCTGGGATCTAACCCCAACTCGCACATGATTACTCACATGTCAGCAGAAAAAGAAGATTTATTGCCAAGAAACCGAAAACCAAATGTTTGCCATTTCTCTTTGTTTTGGTTACCTTTTGTTTTTACCTTTTTTTTTATTTTTTGGGTGCGACCCTCTATACCTTTTTCCATTTGTTCTCTTTTGGGCCTTGTCGGGAAATTAAACTATTAAGCTTTTTGCTAGCGCTGTCGCTGCTGCTGCTGATGTGCGTAAAGTTTTAATGAGACATAAAGGACATGCCGAAATTATGCCGGCCTTAGGAAAGTATCCCAGATCCGGCTATCAGAGCAGCTGTCATTAAGACGGAGCTAAAGCCATTTCCATGCGGTCCGTAGACGAATTCTCTGCCCTGCCAGATAAGTGGAAAGGCCGTAAAAGTTTAGTGGACCGAATGAACATAAACTGCCGCTGATTACCTGGAGGTAATTTTTTTTGTTTGTCGCTCTCTCCAGCGTCTAAGGTGTTTAAGCCAGGTTCGAGGGTCTGTCAGCAACAGGCATAGAAGTTATGACACTTTCGGCTCAAGTGTTAACCATTAACATTGCGGGTTGGCCAAAGGAATATTCGTTGAGGGTGTGTGTGTGTGTATGACACCCCGGGGGGTTTTGGAATGAGTTTCAAGGGCTCTGCTTGCGCTTGAGGTTAGCCGCAAATCAGAAGGTTGTTTAATGACTTTAAAAAATAACTCAGAAATATATATGAAAATATAAAATTATTATATTAACTATATACAAATTATATCCATTCATAGTTGTATCCTTAGCTTTCCTTGATTTCATTTCATTTCACATTTTGTTTATTTTCTAACCGTTTGTTTATAACAAAAAGTGATTTAGAAAACATATTTCGTACCAGTAAATTAATTCGATTCACTCATATTGATCAGCACATGTACTATATATCAAGATTCAATCAACACAATCCATATTTTATGCGGCAATTAAATATTTTAAATATTTTGACCATCCCATCATCGCCTCAACTTGGCGTGCGGCAAGAAAAGTAAATAAATTCAGACGAAAGTATGAGCATTTATCTCTCCCGGGGGCCTGATTTTTATTCATTTCTATTTATCTGGTCCCGTAGATTTATGGATTTCATACGGGCAAGCCAGAAAATTAACAAAAAAAGAAAACTCTAAACGCGTACTGCATTCAATTTAAATTCATTCACAGATATAAATTTCAACCGTATGCGCTGACTTTATAATCGCCTTACAGTTAAGTGGTATATTTTACGACTCTTTCCAACAGTGCAAAAAATTTAATGCCCCAAACAACTTTTCTATTTAGCTTTGAACAATGTAGGTCCAATCAAAAATCCGATGCATAAATCTAAACAAAAAATGGGGATTTGGTTTAAAAATAGCATAGAACTTTTTGTAGTCTTTTGTTTTGTTAAATTCTTAAGAATTACCTAATATGTTTTAACTAAAAAAACTAAACTATGTAAAGAACTTGAGTAAGGCTTCATTTTAGAGCCTTCAATTAGAGCTGAGCTTCTTTTTGTTTAATTAAACAATATTAGGTAATAATATTTTTAGAAGTAAACAAAAAAAGGGACCATAAGATAATCGTTTAAACTTAAACCTTAAATTATTAATTATTTACATAATGAATTTAATTATTGTTTACAAAAAAATACAATTAAATTACAATTTAAATAGCAAATATGCCTTTGGTAGTATACATCTTAAGACTATACCGATCCACAATCCGTACACTTTGTAATTTGTTTAACGCAAAAAATGTGTGTTTAGTTAGCGATTCGAAAAGGCTCGAACAGCAAGTTGTCTGGGCGCCTGCCATTCATTCGATCGATGAACCGACGCCGGTAATTAATCGTCTTGCTCGCTGACTTTGAGCAATTGTTGAAACATTCTTATGCCAAACGGGCATTCGGAAAATCCATCCCTCCCCCCCTGCGGCTTATCACTTAATTGGCTGCTGTGTAAATTGCTCACGAGCATTCAAGTACTGGCAATCAATAAACATTATTCAATATGTGCGACCTCCCGCGATTTCATATGATTTGTCAGTTTGCGCGAACGCATTTATCCAGCATCCTCATTGTGCACATTTTGCATATATTTAAATTCATTTCCCATTACAATTTATTGTGTTTCCGCTTTGCCGCTTTGACCATCACGAATTTATTTCATTTCGTTTAACTTATACGCGCACTTTTCATCTATTTTTCCGTTGGATCTGTGCAAATATGCAAAATGATTGACAGCACAATTAAGACGCCGCAAACGAGGGAGTCTAGTATCTCCGTTGGAGGGGCACTTGCCGTGGCAGGGGACGGAGGTGGCACATGGTGAAGCTGCAACCTTATATGGCTGGAAAAGTTAACTTTTTTGTTGTTCCCTCATCAAAAAAGCAAAGCGCGTCGCAAAACATGTGTAACAGCAGACAATGGACGCTTAATTTAAACTTTATATACATTATATATGTATGTATGTATACTTTTCAGAAAGGTTTCCAAGGTGGGGTAGTACCAGGGTGATGTAAAGTGGTTTTTGTTTTTGTGATAAATACAACGATAAAAGTCTTATAACTTTGTTTATACCTCATCAATTAGAGCGTTTATTTATCCTTATTTCATTCTTAAAATGTAACACAGTTACCTTATAGTAACAGCTATCTCTTAGTTAAGTAGTTGGACTATAGTTTTGACATTTAATAAATACAACTATAAAAACTTGATAATGATAAGGGTTAAATCAGCACTCAAACTTTTGCTTCAATAAATCAAAAAGTTGTGACTCTTGACAGCCCTTCGTGTTTAGGGTCAGAAAATGTCATCATAAATTATCATAAACCTTAAATCAGAGCACTAAATAAATATAAACCAAAAATAGTTAAAGTTTCAATGTTCCTCCATGGGTGCCAGCAACAGCCAGCCGCAGACAGTGCCGATGGCCAATCCCATCCAGATCACCCGTGATGTGGCAGATCGTATCAATCAGGCCACTGCCAAAACCACGAACATCTGCGAGACATGTAAGCAAAGGTCGGAATCGGGAGCTATCCGCGATACAGCCAACACATCACAACACCAGCCGAACGAGGCAAGGGAAGTGCAGCTTGCTAACGTGGCCAAGTCCTGGAAGAAGCGCTCATCAGAGGTCGAGGAATCGCACTTCGATGAGTCCGTGAAACGAGTTCAGGAGCTCTTCGGCAAGACCAAAATGTGGGCTACGGATTGCGCTAGCGACATTAGAAATCTTGAGCTTGAGGTCATAAACTGCTACCAACGGTATCCCCAAGAAACCCTGCAATGCTCTGATTTGGCCAAACAATATAACCAATTTGTGTTCGGCAAGCAGAACTCGGAAATAGCCAAGATGAAATCGAACCCTAGAGATGTCGGTGAGCCCAACCTCTTCGTTTAACCCAGAGAAAGTAACTAAAGATCACAAGTTTTACTGTCAGACGGCATCCATCTTCAGCCAAATTGTATATAAAATTCCATGGACGCCAGTGGTTTCAATAAAATCACTTTAAATATTATATACGTTATGCTTAACTCAACAAAAATTAGTTGCATGCAGCCTAAATGTTTTATTCGGCTTATTCTTTTATTAGCCTTGGCTGATTGCCAGCAAACAAGAGTCGTCAAACAAATGAATGACAACGTGAAAAGCATGAAAGCCCGAGAGTGAAACATGCATAAATAAAAAACAAACACGCGCCGACTGCTCCTTCACCCGCTCACGTATACGTACGTATGTGTTGCTCTTTGTTCCCACTTTCTGTTTGCTTTTGCGGATAACTATTTCAGCGGACCACGCGGCGTATGCGCAATGTGTCGCTCTTCTACGCTTTCATACCTGTCCTGCGATTCATTATAAACGCATTGCAGACGAAAAAAAAACTTTGCTAAGTGAGTGGCCAGAGTGGGCGGTGTTTTGAGTAAAGAAAAACCCCAACACAGAACCCATACGGTCTTGGGCTCAACGACTGCCTTGAACTACTTTGCGCCACAATGTCTAGCTCAATGTGCATTAGTGCAACTTACTCTCACCATTCCAGCAAATGACATGGCTAAGGGCACCATAACATGGTGGGCTTTACACTCCTCAGAATCTCAGGGCATTCAAAATATAAATAAAAGGTGTCTCAGATCGGAGAGAAGGCCCATTCACGTTAGAATTTCAAAACAAATCTCCTTATTTGAATTATTATTTACAAAAGATCACAAGTTAAAGGTTATAACTATAATTAACATCTTGAGATTTTATATTGAAATAGTTGTACTTGGTTGAATATATTTATAAATTCATACCTGCTCTAGAGTATTGCTGCTCTCGACTTTCAAAAGAAAACATTTTGCATGCAATGGAAGGCCCTAAATCATCTTACCAACTTCTTGCGGGCGGCTTAAGTTTTCCAGTCTTATTTTCGAGATTTCCACAACCATTCCTTTTGGTTTTGCCCACGTTGTAAAGTGGTCTCACACTTTTCGCCATAAATCTCCACAACAAATGTGCACCCAAACACATACTGTTTAGCGGGAAAACCTGCCAAGTGCCAAAAGTTGTTGCCGCCATCATATTCAGAAGGGGAAATTGGATTTTATACATTAAATTAGTCTCGCACCTAAGGCAAATCCAGAGTTTTGGCAATTATTTATGCAAATTCAGTTTGAGCCAAGCGGAATGACTACAGAATAAAGCCATCCCATATATGTTTCTCCACTTGAAAGCGAAAACCCCTCCCTTCCCCGAAGTAAAGTGGCTGCGAGGTCAAGTGCAGCCAGCTATTAGCGCCCAATGACAGAATCGTTGGCGCTATTTTTGCGATATCTGATGCGTTTTTGATTGAACTATTGAGTAAACTAGGCGGCTTGTTGAGAGCTGTCAGCGTCGCCAGACGTTCGTTTTTTAAATGCAATTTTCATGTTGTGCAAATGTGAAAAAATATATGCAAGCCGAGAGAAGATATATATGCTTATTTTTTAATACATAAATGAAACCTTATGATACTGATTTTATATTTGTAGCAAGATACATAGAATTTTACAAAATATATTTTTATGAAAAGTATTTTTATATTTTTTCGACTCAAGAATAAGTTTGTGTATAACACGATGAAGGACTTTGGACTTAAATTTTAATTGATATCAAATAAGGAAACCTGTGCAGAGACACTCTGACAATCTGAGAAAAATCGTATAAAAAACATAGAAGTTATTAGACAATAAAGTTTTTGTGAAACTTAAATCTTTGAACTTTTGCCACATTTTGAGTTGACAACACCAATGTGTATTGCTAAACAGTTTTCTAGCAACATTTGTTGTTATTTATTAATTAAAATTTTTAATATGTTTTAGCTTAATTACCGCAAGAATACTTTTGGTAATGTTAATGTTTCCATTAATCATAAAAAAATCGATATGACACATTTTTACAATTTAATGTGCTATTGAAAAATGTATCTCACCTCGTTAGCAAGTGTTTTTTTGGTTGATATCAGAAGTTTCTCGTTTTGCAATGGTTTTCAAATGAATACATTTTTCATTGCGCTATAAAAGTTGATGTGTTTTAAGATACTTTTTACTGCCTGTTGCATTCCGTTCTAACTGCAAGTACAGGGGGTATAAATCAAGGAAAATGTTTTGTCAACAATATAAATGTATTTTTGTTTTAATTAATTCAATTTCAATTAACATAAAAAAATTAATTTATGTTTTAAAATTCCCTTTGTTTCTCATCAACTGTAAACATATATATTTAAAACAAAAAATGTTTGTGTATTTTAATTATTTCTATTTGACTAATGCCGACACAGTCGTAGAAACAAATACCTGCTAAGCTTATAGTTGATTTTAATTATTTAAATATTCAGGGCTTTGTTTTCGATAATCCCATAATAGCCAGTCAAGTGAATGAAAATGCAATGACAAATATTAGTGAAAAGCCACACAGTTCAATGCACGCTGCACATTTCATCTATTTTCCGACTCTGGCCTATTTGTCTCGCTTTCGGTTTCGGGTTCATTTGTTTCGGTTTGCAACGTGCCTGGCATATCTGGTTGAACGGTGACTAGACTAGGAGGGCATTCTTGGCGACTTTAGTGCACTCCTCGGGTTCATTTACATTCGTAGGCCAGTCAGATTAATGGTCAGGCATATATCTCCCCCGTATATTTATGGGAGTGGGGGCTCAGAAGTTAATGCCGTCGGTTTCATTGCTTCATATCTTAGCACTGGCATCGCTATTAAAGCGTGAAAGTTATTAGAAAAATGCGTGAGAGGCGGACTAGTAACGAAAAAAATGCCCAAAAATACTGAAATACCGACACGAAAACGTAAAAAACGAAAATTTATTGATGCTCACTTCCGCAAACAACCGCAAAAAGCCAGACAGCAAGAGCAGCCACAGGAAGCTATGTGTTCGAGCAATGAAAATAAAACAACATTAAAAATGCATAGCAATTGGCAAAGCGGCACTCGAAATACACTTACTTGCTGTGATTAAGTAAAGTTAAAATAAAATAGGTAAAAAAATAATGTTTAAAATAACTGCCCATTGAAATATGTCTTTATTAAAGACTGGTTTATCATTTGGTTTATCTTAATGACTATTAAAAACCCAAATGAATAACGTAAATATTTTAATATGTTGTAACTTAAATTACTTTATTAAAAATTAACCAGAAAATAAGCAATTTGATGTGATTTAAAATAGACTTGTACACAAAATGTTAATAATGTTTGCTTTTATATATCTCTCAATGGGTATTCTTTGCACTAAAATTCCCAAAGAACATCTTTTCACCTTTAACCAGTATTTAGTGTTTTTCTTTTTCATAAAGTCCGAATATGATTTATTGAATTATTTGATTACTTTAGGCCAAGATGACCTAGATTTTGTTATCAATAGTATTTACCGGTTTTTTTTTTTATACAAAATAAACTTATAAAATAAGTAGAAAAAAACAAAAAAATTTAAACTGAAATATTCCTATAAAGGTTTTTTTCCAAAAACCTATATGATTTTGCTTCATACCCCTTGGGAAAAGGCAAAGCAATTGGAAGGGCAAACATTTATAAAACACTTTTGGCCATTTCTCTTCATTAACTGCATACCAGGCGAGACTTCCAGTGAGGGGAGTCCCAGCTACCAAATCCTTCCCTCTGAACTGTGCCCATTCCCTCTCTCATTCTTTTCCGTCGCCCCTTACACAGACAGAAACAACTTTAATTTCCTTAAATAAATTTAAATCAATACCAAATATTTTTAAATAGAGAACGTTTTTGTTCTAATTTATCCCCTGAAATACAAGGTTACAATATTTTGTACATAAATGTAGATCAAAATTTTGTAAATACGAACAAATGTATATTCTTTGCTCATTCTCCCTTTTTTTTTGGGTGTACTCATCTCTTTCGTTTATGCTGGAAAAGTGCGTATTGCGGATGTCCAAGGAGACGCCGCTTAATGAAGTTTCCCGCCCAAATTCTTGTTGGCCACTTGATGGTCGGACATGGCATAATTGATGATGAGGGATGGGAAACCGGCGACACTTTTGACAAATCACTAAACGCAGAACACCGTCCAATTAAAGTGTTGTTGCTCTCGCTTACCATATTCATGGATCATATTTTTCAAGGGCTCTGGTTTTCTGTTACGACAACAAAATATATATCTGCTGGGCTGTCATTAATTTGTTGTAATTCCATACGATACGCCTACTTGAATATTACAGGCCAAGAAAGGGTAGTTATGTATATCCCAACGTGTTGTCATCAAATGTTGTCTATAAATAAAGCGAAATTGAAACCGAGAAAAATTCTGAAGGTGTGGAAAAATGCAAAATGCAACGCCCCGTTAATAATTAATTGCATAATTAACCGCAAATTAAGCCACACACGAGCGGTGGCAGCAGCAGCAACACCAACCATGGATAACAATAACAATAATAATAAAACACAATGTCAACACAGTTGGTAGCTCATTCGGAGAGATAAATAAGATGGGATCCGAGAGCCGCCGAGCTGGTCACAGATCACTTGGAAAAGTTGTATTTCACTTTAACCGATACTTTGCGCATCACTCGGCCGAGGAACAGCAATAAAACACAATAAAAACCATAAAGCAAATATTGAATTTCAAGCAAATATTATCTTTCCTGTTTTTGCTATTTTTCCTGGTACTTGTTGTTGCACTTTTTGCATTGTTTGGTGCAGCAGAGTTGGCAGGAAAACAAGTTTTTCTACCCACTTTGCCATATCCCCATTTTGCTTTGCCTTTCCTACATGAGGAAAGAATATCAAATGTTGCTCAATCATACATATGTATTGCATTATATTATAAATATTTTTCAACTCGAATACAATATTGGAATTCGTTTTTCTTGTCTTGTTTGCTTGCCTTGTGTAAAACGAAACTTTAAACAGAGTAAAATTAGTTTCATATAATTTTTTAGGCAAATCCTTCTTAAAGATGTAAAGGTTAAGCTTCTTAATTTTTTTCAGAAAAAATTATGGCTTTAAAGGTCTTAACATTCAGCTTTTCTGCGTTGCATTTGATTTTTTAAGAAGCGTAGGCCGACATCATTATTTTTAACTTACATCAGCAAGGCGGCTATAATTATGGCACTCGTCCTGCTCTCAGCTGCATAAATGTATCTCTCTGCCATACTTGCACCGAGACAAAGGCGTTGCTACGCGTCGTCAGTCAGTAAAGAGCCTGAGCCCTCGACTTTAAATTGCAGCGACATCATTAAAGCCGTGTCGCTCTAGGATGAGACTTTATGTGGGTGTACGTGCACCGTGCTTGTGAAGGTGGATAAGGATGCGGGGCTGGCGCCTCGTCGCCACTCAAATTAAGTCGGAAAGTGCACTGTCAAAGCGCATTTCATATGCATAAGGGGACCCCCAGCCTTGTTTACCAAAGTCATCTGTGTGGTTGGCCTACTTTTGGGGTCCTTTAAAAGTCTGTCGCTATGCAGGCGTCCAATTCTACCGAAAAACAACCCTTTAGTAGGCGTCAAATTGAATGTCATGGCGCTTGAGAAAAAAGACAAGAACTTGTGCATTTTTATTATAAAGATAAATTGATGCCGAGAAAGACCGAATAACAAGTACCCTAGAAACGATTGAAAAACTATAAAAAGAAATGAAAACATTGTTGTTTTTCTTTAAAACTTTGCATTTACTTGTAGGTTTAAAATGTTAAGTTTACCATTTAAATTTTGTAAAAAAACTATGAACAATGATAAAGAAATTATCGATTAAAAAATATAATAAATCATTTTTCTTGATTTAAGTTTTGTACCTCTGGGGATTTCTTTTCTTTAAAATTGCTAGACCCGAATATTCCAAGGATTATTATTATTTAACAATGAAATCACATTACCCAAACATTCCCCCACAAGTGAGGTCTCCAAACAAAGCGACCGCATCCCATTTATTTTCATTTTTACTGTTAACCGAAGGGAAAAATGTTCATTTTCCCACGCAAGCCCAAAAAAAATGTATATAATGGCCATGGCGGATGCATATGTGTTTGCCATCCTGTGGCCATAACGCTACTTTCCCTCTCAAACCAGAGCATCCTCCATACTATCGCGGTTGATTGGCCAAATCACTTGCCGGCAAGTTTGTGCACTTTTTGGTGGGTCCTAGCCAAAATACAGATCCCAGGGCGGTGCCTTTTCACTTTGTGGATGCAAAAAAAATAGTTTTAGAAAATACATACATTCATATACAATCTCTTGATTGTACAATATTGCCGCGCGCACTCTCGTCATATTTGTTTTGTGAGGGAATATTGGTTGTAATGTCAAGTGGTAGCCAAGAAGGATATGGCAAAAGTTACTAGTATAAGAAGGAGACCTATTATATTCAATAATATTAAAATCTAATCTTGTTTGCTTCCATTTATTTTAATTAAACTCTAGCATGTCCCTGGTACCCTAAGTTTTTAATTTTTTTTAGAAAGAATAGCCTAATATTAGGACTTAAGGTCTTAAGGACACATGACCTTAGTTGTTACTGGCCAACATTTGACCTTGTTCCTAGAGTGACAGCAAAATTCGCTTGCAATATTCCATCAAAGTTTTCGGCCATAATTTAAATTTAGTTTTCTGCCAACCCCAGAAGTTAACCGAATGCAACTGCCCGGCGCAGTGCTTGCATAAATCTTTGCTGGTTCGCAGAATTTTTAATTAACTTTTCGGTTAGTGTGGGAACTCATTATCAACGGCAACAACAAATTTGTGCAAGCCGCCAATGAAAACAAAATATAGTACAGAAAAAAATTGGAATAGAGGAGCGCGTGGGTGACGGCTGAATTTGGCACTGACACCAGCACAAAAGCCCCATTCAAGGCTGTTTAACGAGGGGGAGTTGGAGGGCGTGTTGCTGGGTAGAAGGTAAGGGGGATAGTACCAGGGCATGGGACTCTTTGTTCGCGGTGCCATTTCAAGCGAATTCAAATCGAGTCGCCATTCGACGCTTGTTGACACTGCCATCGTCATCAACATCTCCATCATCTGATGCATCCCATCGAGCTCAACTCTTCAGCTGTCATCTATTGACAGGCGCACACTGACACCCACTCCGTTGTAATTTCAGTCGTTTTTTCTCTCTTTTTTCTAATTAGAATGTGTACCCTAATCGCTGATGGGGTTTTCCACATAAAAGAGATGAGGCCTCTATTGTGGTTGTTAGGCAAACACTCCCAGTGGAGAACTTGAAGTAATCTCTTGTAAATAACCAACTGATGATAAAATTTATATTTTTTTTTTAGGCAATTATTCGGTACTCAACAACAGCCACTTCAGGGAGTTGTTGTTGACGTGGAGAGAGGCGCACAGCTTTAGAATGAAATGGAGATGCAAAGCTACTCTGGTCTTGGACCAACGACAGCAGCAGCAGGAGCAACTGCAAGTGACACGGCAGCAGCATTCACAAAGCGACACTTCAATTGCCGCCTGGAAGAGGCGGCTCGGCCTGAGGTCTGGCAGCCGCTTATTAGCTGTGAAAGCAGCAACACCAATGGCACCACTTCCAGCATTAGCAGCAGCCTCCTGCCCGCCAGCAACATCCTGGCCGCCAGCAGCAACAGCATCATCATCAGCGGCGGCAACAACACATTCCAGTGTGCTCGGCAAACATTCGATGAGGCGGGGCAGACGGCATCCTATAGATGCGATGGGGAGAGTCCTTTGTCTGAAACCTGCTCGTTGAGGCTGAAGGCGCGACTGTTGCGAGTGCCACACGAGGCGTATGCGCAATTTCGACTGGCAATCAACGAGGCCCTCAGTGATAATGCGAGTGATACACTAAGTGATAGTTCGAGCTGTGGCAGCGGAGCAGGGGAGGAAAGTGAGCTGCACTGTGAGCTGGGAGAAGAGGAACCCTTCCTCTGCCACTTGCAGTCACTCCTCCCATCCCAGGCTGAGCCGGGGGACTCTGCCTCGAACAGCAGCCAGCTTGAGGCCTATCAAATAGAGCTGGGCAACGTGCAAGACGGCCTCTGGTCCTTCCTTAACTTCACCGAGCTAATAGATCCCGGCAACGACACCTTCGCCATGGGAAATGCCACTAGCACCAGCCTGGACATGATTCTGTCCAACTACACGGCACTGACCACCACAGCAGTGCCCTCCACCGCAGTCACATCGAGCGATGTGGGGGTTACAAGGAGCTTTCTGGACTACAGCCCCCACGGCTACGATTGGCTCTTCCTGTTTGTGGTTTTCTTTATCTTTGCCGGTGGCCTGGGCAACATTCTCGTGTGCCTGGCGGTGGCTCTGGATCGAAAACTGCAGAATGTCACCAACTACTTCCTCTTCTCGCTGGCCATAGCCGATCTGCTGGTCAGTTTGTTCGTAATGCCCATGGGTGCCATACCAGCTTTTTTGGGTGAGTAAGCAGGTTTCAATGAACCATGCGAATCTTGATTTCAATTTAAATATTTTTTAAAGTATTTTTTTAAGTTTATAAAATTACTCTAGAGTGTTTTACTATCAATATTTATTTTCAATTAAACCTATGGCTTTCTTAGTTCATCGAACCAACTGCAGTAGCATATTAATGGGACTTCTCTTAATATGACATGTAGTGACTTCCTCAAATCAAAGTTTTCATCTTCCACTTGGCTCTCGTTCGAGTCTATGGTACTTCGGCAATCAAGTGGCAATGCATGTCAGGGACTAATGCATTTGCACATGAATTATTTCGACGCCATTTCCTCTGCACTCGCCGTTCATCTCAAGTCGCTGCCACGCCCTCTCTTCCGCCTCCGACATTGTCATGAGTTGTTAGTCTTGTTGGCTGCATCCACAATGGCTCACTTACACTTAAACAGCGAGGAAGTCAAAGAAATGAATACCTAGACCTTAGCTATCAGTGTTTTTTAACTGATATTTCTTATTCTACATTCTTTTAAAAATATTAACAAAAAACGTTCGTAACTCAAGAACGTTTCCACAATTAAGAAACTATCTTTGTTTTCAAATATAAATCTTAAAAAATATGCTAAACCTTTTTCATCAGTGTAGCAAATGCAAAAGCAGCTAAAGCAACAAACTAAAATGACAAACGCGTGACTTTCCTTGTTGAGGTTTGAATTAGGAATTTATTTCTTCCTTCTACACGTTCTCCCTTGTGTCTTTTCTTATTTTTCCAGTGCAGCTGTAAAAACTTGAGTGGCGAAATAAAATGTGTGTACACGTTTTTGTGGAAATCACTTAATGCCAGCCAATTTTAATCTTGGTTTTCTGGGAATCTTTAAAACGAAAAAAAAACCTTGATATCGGCATCCCGACTCATTGCCCTTTAAATATGTAAAATGTTCGGTAAACATATTCAAACTAATTTGCATATGACACTGATAAAACCTCAAAACAAAATCCCGCCCCTCTCTGGCATTTTTATCCAGGCAGAAGAAAAGCCAACGTAGCATAAACAGATCAAACGTTGGTATAAATTAAGCGTGCACTCATCGCCGTGGCCAGGACCCCAGCCAAAAACCAAACCCAAAACCGTACTCATCGCATCTAAATAGATTGAGTGCCAGTCCAAGCACATTAACAACATTGGGGAAAACTCATTTTGCTTTAGAGCACATTAGTTTGCGCACAGAGCGCGCTGGCATTTTATAAATGTAAAGTCTACTTTTGGGTCATTAGTTAGGGGAACGAACACTGCGAGTCGCTGGGTTTAGATTTAGATCCCTTCAACAGGTCTCATTTACGAAAAGGAAAGAGCTTTACAAACTAGTATAATTTTGTATTTAATTCTAAATGTATATTTTTAAATATTTAAAAACTAAGGGGGTCTTATTTAGAACAATTTTAGTTAAAAGTTTAAATATCAGATTAAAAATATTCTGTTAATTTTATTAAAAATATATCTCAAAATAATTGTTTACTTTGCATTTACCGCATTTTTTACGCTATCCAAAATTAGTTTAAATGCATAAAAAATCATAGAAGTCAAAATTAAACGAAAGTTTGCCTCGTTAAAGTTCTTCCAAGTCCCATGACTTTCTGCATTTTCCGCTGCTCTAAGCTTTTTTGGCCGTCTCCATTGTTTATTTTTCGGTTGCACTTTAGCCGCGCCGCATTTTATGCAACTGTTTTTTATGTTTACTTATTGCGTCACTGTTAAGGCCCATTCGCAGTCGCAGGACTAAGGGCAAGGTCTGTTATTCCACTTTTCTATTTTTTTTCTTTAGTTGCTTTTTTGTACCGAGAAGTCAACGACAACAGTAAACTAAATGTAACTAAAAGCCTTAAGTGTGGTTTTAGCCTCTGCAGCAAACAATAACAAAAACATCTGCCTGAGCCTTTGCCAACAATTAAGCCCATAATGGGGCCAGGCGGAGGCCTTTAGTTTATTTTAACATCAAGTTTATATAAACATCAGTTATTGTTTGGGGCAGGCACAGTTATTTTAGTCCCACACTCGGGGCGTCTAAACTTTGAAGCCAAGCTCGAAACAGACTTTTGTAGCCACATTTGCTTTGTTTTCGCAGGCCAAAGCCATTAAAAGTGTTGTATGGATTTGCGGAGTGGTCGGAAAAAATATAAAACCAAATTTACCACAGACTTAGCCAAAAGTATATAAATATATTGAAGCTGGCCTGGCTTTACTAGCTTTTGTGCACAACTTCGGTTAAGATGATAGTATTTAATAGTTTTTATGTATTTTCTGAAATTTAAATCTAAATTTTTTGTATTTATAAAACATCCATTGAATAAGGTTGCTTAATTGCCTAATAAGAAGTCAGCATTTATTTCAAACTCTACTTATTCTCACTAAAGATGATTAAAGTATAAAGAGATTTTTAAAATCCAGAAAAAACCATGTAGAGAAATCAAGATTTGCTTAACAAGGAAATGAAACGTAGATGTTAGTTTAGTTTAAAATAAAAATAATAATAAAAACGACCATGATCTATCTTTGATTAAATTTCTATATAGTATATATGTTAGAATATTATTTTGACTGCATCTGTATTTGTTTCTGCTTCTGCCACTCGAGTTGTTTCAGCACCTCGACGCACCACATGGCGTATGCGTAATAAACACATTGACAGGGCCCCCGCACACATCCACCGCCTGTGTCTGTGTGTGTGTCAGTGACAAGCATATAAAACTAAATAGGATGATGGTCACCCCTTAGCCGCCCACTCGTGTCCTGTTTGTCTGCTTTTGTTTGAGGAAAGGACCCTCATGTGTCTGTCTCTGGGCAAATAGCCCAACATCCAGCAACACCCGACGCATTTAAGCGCAATTTGTACTAATTAATACTGAATTCGACTCCCCCCTGGGCAGCAATTGAGTTTTTGCTGGGTCTGTTCTCATCGAAGCTGGTTCCCGCTGGATTACCAGGCGCCTATTGATGTCAAGGTGAATGAGTCAGTCGAGTGTTAAGCAAAGGATCCACAAACGGATTGAATGCGAATTAATGTGACACATCAGATTGGGAAATTATCACACGTGATGGGTGTGTTATTCAACAAAATATGTGCCTAAGGAAACCATTTAACCCAACCTCTTTAATCCCAAAATCGCAGCTAAGCTGCAAGCTTTAAATGTAACTTGTAAAGGCTTTAATTTCAAAAACCTGACATTGACTGTATTATTCACTTTTCCCATTGCTGCATTTGCAAGCCTTTTCATCCAGCAATGTGAGATGAGTTTTCTCCATATGAGTTTACAAAGCAACTACCCCTTTCAAATATCAAATAAAAAGTGGCGAGTCTCCTACCGAGCTTCTATTCGGCTGAAACTCAGCACTACCTGACATTTATTAAACTTCCTCGAAACTGTTCAATTTCGCTTTCCAGGATATTGGCCTCTTGGTTTTACCTGGTGCAACATTTACGTGACCTGCGACGTATTGGCCTGTTCGTCGAGCATCCTGCACATGTGCTTTATCAGCCTGGGCCGTTACCTAGGGATACGGAATCCTCTGGGCTCTAGACATCGATCCACAAAGCGGTTGGCCGGCATTAAGATAGCCATTGTCTGGGTGATGGCCATGATGGTTTCCAGCTCGATAACCGTGTTGGGTAAGTATGCCAAAGCAAAGTAACAAGAATTTACTTACCAAACTCTGGAACATTCAGGTCTGGTCAACGAGAAGAACATTATGCCCGAGCCAAACGTTTGTGTCATTAACAATCGAGCCTTCTTCGTGTTTGGCTCCCTTGTGGCCTTCTATATACCCATGCTGATGATGGTCACCACCTATGCCCTGACCATTCCCCTGCTCCGAAAGAAGGCAAGGTTTGCCGCCGAACATCCGGAGAGCGAGCTGTTCCGCAGGTGAGCACACTGAAAGAATATAAAACAAATAGCACTAAATAGTGAAAATGTAAACCGAAAAAAGTAGGGAAACAAGTAGGAAATATCTCGGAGTGTATATAGACAGCTTTCCTTGACACTGAAATGCTATTGACATCAGAAAAAGTGAGCCAATGGAATAGCGTAAAGCAATAAAGTTTCCTGTTAATTAAGCATCCACATCAGCTCCAGCAGACTCTTTTCTATTCAGCTAATCAATATTGTTAAATTATTCCATGTAACGGTCTTCTTTTACTTTTCATCTGGCTGCAAACTTTTCCAGAGGATTTAAATTTCCGTTGCAGACTTCCGGGGGTCAATCTCTTTTCCCCTTTAAACGCGGCAATTTTCGCCACTGATTGGCTGTCGGAGGCTAATAGGAACGCGGCCAAGCGCGTCAAATTAGCCTTAACTCAATCAACCACCAGTTCGCACGGTCATCGCTTTTCATTTAAGAGTAGGATTCACTAGAAATAGCTACTGAATAAATTTATATTTTTTCCATGAAATGTGTGTTAATAAACCTTCCTTTATATTGTTGTATTTTAATAAAATTACAAATTCCTGCACACATTTATAAGATACTTAAATTCCTAAAAATTATTTTAGTAATAAAACAGTTTTTAAGCTAATTACTTAAATATCTTAAATATGATATTTAGGAGTAAAGTCATTCGTATTGATATTCATAAAGTATTCTCTATCAATCCTTAAAAAGTAATGTAAACATTTTTAATGTGTTAGAATATATTTTTTGCCTAAGTGTACTCACATTTTTCTCTTGCTGTTTTCCAGGCTCGGCGGCCGCTTCACTATAAGGCCACAGCATAGCCAGCAACAGTTGCAGATGCACAGCAGCTTCTCCAGCGGCAATTCAAAATTCCTGCCAATGAGCGACAGCAATCGCAATTTTAACAATGCCGGAAGTGGACTAGATGGAGCAGGTGGCATCAGGGGTGGTGGCATGGAGGCGGCCGAACGTCCTTTGATGCAACAGCGAACAACGAGCACCAGGAGCATAGGAACAGTCAGCTTCCGCAACGTGGCCAATGGCAGTGGAGCCGGAGGAGGTGGAGGCACTAAAGGCTCAGCGACTGCTCGCAGTAGCTTCCGGTTTGCCGGCGGAGGCATCCTGCGTCACTCGTCATCACCAGCCTCCAGTAGTCACTCCACCGGGAAGGCGCAGTCCAGCAGCTTTTGGCGAAAGCACGGCGGCAACCCCAACCTAATGGACAGGTAAGTGGCTAACACTTGAAAACTTAATTAGTAGCTCTGCGGTGTCCCAATGCAAATGAGTCCGATCCTTGTCAATATAAAAGAGAAAATGCAGTGAAAACGAAATGTAACTTAAGTTGATTTTATCGTTAATTAATTGGTTTAAAATCCTCTTATTTAATTGTTGAAACGCTTTAATTATATATATATTTTTATCCATGATATTTCTTTTATATATCATTTAAATGTGTATAATTTCTTCCTGACTAGTAGAACTTTGGTTAATTTAAGAGTTAAACAAAGTTTAAAGCACGCAAGGACCTCCTAAATATCTGTCTTTACCTAGCTTGGAGTCTTTTTAATTTTTTAAGTCAAGCTCTCTCTTTTCGCAGTTTATTTTATTTTATTATTTATATTAATTTTATGTATACTCCATTTTACCAAATTAAATTTGTAAGTGTGCCAAACATTTGCTTTTAATTAGTATTACTTGGAACACAATTATTGCACTCTCCTTTTGAATTTGAATATGATCTCGACCACAAATCGAAATCATCCATGAAATTGAAAGCTATTGTGGGCTCAACCGCAGGACCACAAGCAATGACAAATCGCAATCGTGTCCAGGGCTCGCAAAACAAATTCCCCAATCAATGCAGCAGACCGAAAGAAACCCCAAACAACGAAAAATAATAAAGGCAAATAACATGTTGATTATCTCCTGTGCATACAATGCTTTTAAATTTATTACATTTGTTTTACAAGACTTTCCCTTCCGCCGGGCAAAAGTTTTGTGGGGTGCGGAGGGGGTGAAGCTTTCGGCGCCATTATGAGCAACTTTTGCGACTACTTTCGTTTTGGGAAATTTACATAATTTCAAGTGTTAGTGCAAAGCGGGTTTCTTGTTGCTGTTGGCTTGTAACTACCGCTCCCAGGAGCGGTTATGTTTGTATTTGATTTAGGGTCCTTTGGTGTCCTCTGACACAGCTCTTTAAGAGGAGAATTTCTAGTGAATAAAGGAAATTGGAGACTGCATATTCTTTAATTATTACAAATGAATACCATCACCGTATTCAGAGTTGGCTTAAAAATATTTGTAATATTTAAAAATATATTCTGCTTTAAACCTTGCACACTTCATGTAAGCCTGAGTAAACACAATCCCTTTCCAAAGCCCCCAACAATCAATTATATATCTTGAAGCAATTAAATACACATTCACAAATGTCGGACAACATGGCGTATACATAATTCGGCACGGCTTGCCTCGTCTGGTCGCTCGCACATAAATCACTCATACGTCATGTGGTGCAGCGGGACACGGAAAAAGATGCAAACACGAAACCGTTTGTCGCACCACTTCAGCTGCTGCCACATTGTTGTTGTCAGGGCACAATAAATAGCGCATAAAATGCAAAAAGGGAAGCCTCAAGAATGGAACAAATGTGGCATTCAACATTGTTGCCAGCACTCCCAAAAAAGAAAAAAGACACCCAAAAAGCATCCGAAGTGAAAGCAAAGTGCAGCCAAAAATGCCACAGAAATTTGCAAATGACTTTGCCTGCTGGTTGTCAGCTGAATTTTAGCATAACCAGAGTCAGAGGCGAACTAAGTCCTCGACTTGGGCAAAAAGCAAAAGCTGATGAATGTCACGTTTATGCGCTCTGCCTTTTTTTTAAATTTTCGGCGTGTGACGACGAGCAAGTTTCCGCATAAATATATGAATTCCAAATGAGCCCGGAGCCCAGGTTGAAAAGCAACAACTTTTCCACCCTCACTACAAAAAAGAAAACGGTTTAGGGTAGGGGTTGGGAAAACTTTTCGCTTTGCAAAATTATTAGTTGGACATTTGACGCCACTTGGGCGCTGCTTATTTAAATGTTTCTGCCTCTCTGCCGGCGCCAGTCAGAAATTGAAAAACTTTATGCTTTATTCGCTGAGGCAGCAACAGTTACAAAGTCGGTACCCCCCGCCCCTTCATTTCAAATGCAAGGCTTCCGGGGCGGAGAAATGCAATACTATAGTCGGCCTCCAAAAAAAGGAGCAATCTGCATTTTGTCGCCAAGTTTCTTGGAGTCAGCTGTCGGCGTTGGGATCACTTAATCTGATGTCATGACAAATTTTCACTTATTTAATTTAATTGTAATATTAAAAGGCTATGATTTATGCATGCATAAGCTTAAATATGATCTTTTTTGCTATTAAATTTCTAAATTTCTGAAGAATAAATGTATTACTTGAATACCAAAGGGTTAATTTTTAATTGCTGAACGTAGAGATTTTGTTTTTTTAATTCTTGTAAATAAAATAAAACCTATTTTCATATTATTTTTATATTTATTTACAATGTATCCCTTTTTCTTTAACAAAAAATTTAATAATTAGCCGAAAAATAAATTGTGTGTATGCTCACACAAGCCTCCTTTAAGCCAACTCTCTTGCTTTTTTTATTCTAGGCTAGGCATTTGGTGAAATCCCTTCCTATTTTCCTTTAGCACTAACATAACTTTTATTTAATACGTCACTCTGCCGACTGTTTTTCCACCATTTCCATCCGCCCATCTGGCAAACAAAACGTTTAGCTGAATTGCCAAAGCCAAAGCCCAATAAGGGTACATATGCAAACAGAGCCTGGCCTCAGACCCGAGAAAAAACTGAAAGTCATTACATTTGGCTCTCTTTTCCCCCCGAAACTTCCCTGCCCTTCATTACATTAAAAGTCAATTTTATCAACTGTTGAGTTTGGTGTCGGTGTCGGAAGGTTCCCGGCAATCAAAAGACTCAAATCTAATATCAAACACTCGCTGAACGAAAAAGAAAACAATCTAAATATGCGACTCTTAATACACAGAGAGAATAAATATATAATACAAAAAATAAGGAGGTATAAAATGTGTTTGGAGTCAAATTAGTTCTGAGTTACAAAAAAAATATATATGGAAATAGTAAAACTTAATGTTTTAATAACCCAAGATTCGTGTTGGTGAATAATAGGTTTCTTCAAATAATATGCAATTAAAAAATGTATTAATAGATTTTTTTTAAGATCATTAATATTCTTTTATTTGGCGACTAAGCGCAACTAGTTTCTTTGCTTTTAACTTTCGATCATCTTAATACTCCATTTTTGCTACTCTTATTTTGCAACTCTTGTTCTCCTTCTTTCGATAGCCATCCAAACCGAAGGGCCTCTGTGCATGTTAGCATCTCTCAGCCACAATTGGGTTACCCGACAAATGGAAATGGGGGTGGAAGTGGCTCTGGATCTGGAGGAGGAGGTGGCAATGGCTGTGGCGGCGGCAATGGCTCAGCTGCTGCGACACCAAGCTGTACAACTCCTGGGGGCAATGGATCCGGCATGATGAACATTGCCACCATCCAGGGACAGGGCTTGGGCCACAACCAGAGCCAGGGAGCTGGCAGCAATCATCAGCTGGAGCAGGTGAGGCCTACGGCCTCGAAGCCTGATGAACGGCAGCGCCACAAAATGCGTCCCTTTAAATTTGCTTTAAACCGCGTGGCCACGCCCACGCTCAATTTGCGGTAAGTGATGCTCGAAATTATTAATTACATTCCAAAAATAAAAGACAAGACTATATATAAATGTCCATAGCGACCGCAAAAATCATTTTACTTTCATTTTAAACCAATAAGAAAGGTTGAGGAGTTTTTTGTTAAGCAAAAATTGTTAATTTCAAAATTATTTTGAAGGAACTCACACTTTCCAATTTCCAGTTTCCTAAACAATCGCAGCAAGAGGAACAGCCTGTCGGCCAATGCGGTGGCCACCGAGCAAAAGGCCACCAAAGTGCTGGGTCTGGTGTTCTTCACCTTCGTGCTCTGCTGGTCACCGTTCTTCATCCTGAACATCATCTTTGCCGCATGCCCGGAGTGCCAGGTGCCCGAGCACGTGGTAAACACCTGTCTCTGGCTGGGCTACGTATCCTCGACGATCAATCCCATCATCTACACCATTTTCAATCGCACATTCCGGGCGGCCTTCATCCGCCTGCTGAAGTGCAACTGCGAACGGTAAGTGTTGAACACCAAAGTCGGCAGTGGATGAAGAGAGGGGGATTGGGGGTCAATGGGAATCGGAGAACAATTTATTGTTCCGGAGAGTGCACTCGGCTGGGAATTGATGTGCAACGTGACGTATGATTGATTTTAAGGGATTTGTATTTTGGCATTGAAATCAATGCTGCTTCTGGAGGCAGTGTGTGTGTGTGGCAGCTAATGGATGAACAGCGATTAGACATCGAGCTCTGTCCAAATAAATTAGGGAGAATATGGTAGAGCCAAGCAAGGGGAAGGAGAAATTTAATATAGCAAAGTGGTTCTAAATAATTTTCGGTTAGCAATGAAATAAAGTAATTCTTAACAGGGATTTTCAATTAAATTTTAAAGAATGCCTGAATGAATTGAAAAACGTATGCCTAACCTTTCCTATGTCTGCTTGTGGGCTTTATCCCGAATCCTTTTTATGTAAAAAAAAATATCTTGTAAAAGCAAAAGCCAATAACCTAGTTATTGCCATCCCATTGCAGTTCTGGCCGCCCGCTGCGATTCCGATCCGTGACGGAAGGACGAGGCGCCCTGAGCCTGTGCGCCCCCTCGGCCCTGCCTCTGGCCATATCCTTCCAGGGAGCGCCCCTCATGACGCCATCGACGGCGAATGCGACGCCACTGAGCGAGTTTCGGGGCGGCTACACAATCACCGACGACGAGTGCTGAGCCACCATGGGCCGCATCCTTCTCTTCTAAATAAAATACGAATTTATACCGACTAATGAGCAAATCGAATGGAGTCAACTGTACTTGCTAACTGCAGGGTGATTCACCTAACCAAAAACTAATCACAATCAACTGGACGACTTTTGTAGCAACTACTTATAAAGCGGAATACTAAACTTAAATCTCATCCATATCATTTGTATGCCGGGGGAAGGGGAAGAGCACCAAAAAGTAGGACTTAGAGAGTGAGTTAGTGAGTGCAACGATGAAGTGACTGTACCTGTGTTTCATTTCCATATTTCCAGCATTCTTTAGCTTAAGTGATCGCTGTATTTTAGAGCTAAGCAAATATATGTGGAAGCGTAATGATTAGATTTAAAGAAGCATTGAAATTACCCATAGCAGCTGTGTTTAGTAGTCGTTAGCAAGCTAAGACCCTGAACCGAATTCTACTAATAAGGAATTTGATTTCCCACTCACCCACCCTTGATGCCTATTCCAAATGTCCATGCAGCTTTGCTGTTCCTTTAGTTTTTCCTGTGCGTAGGTGTCTGTCTTTAGTAGGTAAGCTAACTGTTAAAGAACATGAATTGCAATACTTGATAAATAAATATGAAAAATAAGAAAGAAAAAGTGAAGAATATATTTTTATAAAGAGGAAAGTTAAAAGGTGAATGGTAAGAGCCAGAGAAAACCTTCAAGCCTGAAACTTGGGTACTATTTTGATATATAACTAAGCTATGATCTAAAAATTTACTGAAATTATGGTAGTGAGATTATAATCAATGATGAATTTTAATACAACGAGTGACGGTAATTTGCGATCTAAGGCTTTAGTAGTCCAGGATGGACAATAATTGAGTTTCGCTGACCACATACATAGGCGAAAACTCATGCCATGTTCGAGAAGGAGACGAATACGAGGACATTCGAAGCAACCTCAATGTGTCAGGCCTGGGGCGTATCTAATCAAGATATGCGAGTGTAAGGCAGACTTAAGTGCTTTACGTCACAATCCCACTAACCCCATCCCCTTGCAGCTTTCCACCCGCACAAACAGAAATCCTACCCCTACTGTCCGCCTCGGTTACTTGACAAGCGCATTAAACTTTGTCGCTGGCTTCAATAATGGTGGGGTTTCTGTGTGTGTTTGCCGCTCATAAATGCCATGAAAACTGCATTATTGTCATGAATTTAATGCAATTCGAATGCTTTTATGGGTGCCCATGCCAACGACGAAACTTTTGTGCCCCGAATTTCTCTACTCACTGTTTTTTATGATTTTATTATACACGATGCTTGAAATTGCCAAGAAATACAGAGCACAGGCATTTAAAGCCTTTAGAAGATATATTTAATTTTTTAAGAACAAGGAATTATTTCAGTTACCACTTTTAAAAGGCAAATTGAATTGATAAACATCAGTAATAATTATTAATTTCATTTCCTCTGACTTTCTGAGCACCGGGTATCTAATAGTCGATGCACTTACCCAAGTCTTTAATCTTCGCATTGTTTGTCAAGTGAACTGAAGCGAAAATCGCAGAGCTGGCAACAGAAACCGGCTGGCAACGACTGCTTTAAGTTGCAGTTGCCAGGACAAATTTCCCCTGTTGCACATCATGATCTGGGGATCACATTGACTCTAGCAGCTCCAAGAACTCGAGCTACTAAGACGACACACAAAAGCCAGACGTCGCAGAGTGCTAAGAGTGACAACAACAAACTTGGTAAGAACAATTAAGTTTCTGCTGACTGACTGTTGTTTATCCCTTGGTGTAGTCCTTGGTTCACCGTGAAATTGATTGCATCGCTGGCATTTTACTGTTTACTCTTGCACTTTCCATGTCCTGCGGCATCAAGTGCCTCGATTAACATCTCAAGTCGGATGCAGTTCGTTGGAATTTTTTTAGATATAGGTAATAATTACTTTAACAGAAGCTTACATTTTATTTTATATTACTAAAAATAAATTTATTCGTGTTCAATTTAAAATTAAACTTGTGTTTTATATGTTGTAGTTCTATAAGCAATAATTTAAGAACCTTTTCCAACTTTTAACTGGTAAATATAGCCGTCCGATATTGACACATTTTAAAATCGGCAAAAATAAAGATTTCAAATTGTGGTTTTAAAAATATCAAAATACCTTTGATCCTTACTTCAGTTTAACTGTGAAAGTGACAAGGAAGTTGGAAAGGTGACCAAAGTTAATTTAATATTTTTTTTGTATACATTTTTAATATTTGCTGTATATTTATTTAAATGGTTTATGTAAAGATGTGTTATGTGGAGTTTGGTGGACGCGACCGTTTCCGCGAACGAGAACGCCGTGAACTAGAGCATATTATCCATGACTGGCGCGAGAGGGTACTGAGGGCCAATCAGATGTTGCCAAATGGGCCTCTTGGCCAACAGGCGCAAAGGCCGGAGGGGCAGGAGCAACGGCAGCAAGACCAACAGCAGCAAGAGCAGCCACAGCAACAAGACCAACAGCTGCAGTAGAAAACACAAAACAAGATTAATAAATGTAAATAAATAAGAAGTCCTTATTCATTTTAAACAAATTTATACATTTTTATTTATACTTGTTTTTCGCTTCTTTAAGTATATTTTCTGTTGATCTAACCAATTTCTTGGAAAGCCAAGTGAACAAATTCAAGATGATGAAAGAAGATTGCAACGGCTTTTGATGCTAATCAAGAATAAAGAAGTATGTAATTAGCCATTAATAAGCCATCAGTAACGATTCGTCACAAAAATATTTTAAAAACTTATGATTTTTACACCGAATTAAACAACGAAAGAGATAACCTTGAATTTATTGTTGGTTTATATGTTTTGTTAGCATCCTGATAAGAATTTGCAAAGTTCTTCAGACTCGATTTCAAATCAAAATATCTCTCAATGAAGTAAGATTTAAGTGACGATTGCGCCTTCAACTCAAAAAAATTCTGTTGTGAAATTTAGAGACGAATAATGGTTTATACAGGTACAGCTTTTTGCAAAGTTCTTCAGACTCGAGGTCTAGTCGGCTTTGATTTTATAAAAATCAAAGGCGCGTCTTTAGCGAAAGTTTTTGCAGTTAAAGGCCCAATCTTCTCTTTTATCTTACCTCTCTGAAAGGAATTTTTGTTTTTTTTATTATAATTTAATCAATTCGGATTACTCACTAAAAACTTGAAACGTTGACAGACCGGTATATAACACTTCAGTCAACTTGAAGCAGCTAACTTGACTTGATCTTATTTAAGTCAAAGAAATTTAGTAGTCAACAAGTCGCTCGTGTTAAAAGGCTAATTTTGTAACGAAAATGATATTAAATCGCATAGGAAAATGGCTCCGCCTTTACCTTAATATTTCGTATGAAGTCCGCGCACTTTTCAAATTTATCCCGCCCAGTTAAAGCATGGTGAAAAAAATGTTATTAAGGGGGGATATACATGTAAGCGGTAAAAATTTGGCCATTTTTCGTGCATTTTTTTTTACAAGAAATAGTCAAGCAATCGTCGTGAAACTTTGGATATAGTTAAAAGTAGAATCATAGATGATAAAAAAAATTAGTTATAAACAATATTTTACAAAATGGCGGATTTATGGAACACATGCCGTAGCGCCTCGAGCTTTGAGTTGCCGTTCTATGGACACGATAGAGCTCGTAATTCCTGTCCAAAATCCGTAAACTAAATTTTTTTGTATTCATTACACCTGTATCTTCTATTTGAACCTAAAAAACTAAAAAGAAATCAAGACAAAAAAATTAAATTTTGATTTGAAGGAAAAAATGACTTTTTCAGGTGATCAGTTTTCACTTCCCACCCTCTTAAAAAATAGTAATACTCCGTTTTATAACAACCATGTAGGTTCAAATAGAAGATAATTTCATACTGATCATAATCCTTTTTGATTCACTGCGATATGTTACGTAGTTTTTTGTAAATCGTGTCCAAAGCATAGGTAAAAATGCAAAAATTAAAAGCTGAGAAAAAGACGTATAAAGTTTTTGATGCGCTCACGTTAACACTTGTATACCTTGCGTGCATACTTGATTTGAGGCACTTCAAGTTGGAATTCGATATTGAAACTTATACAGTATATTCTTTGAGTAATAAACTATTTTTTAAACAAAAAAAAAAATTTGCCCAAAAAATTTTGGTTTACATGTATATCCCCCCTTAAGGGTATGAGAGCATGTTCGGCCCAAAAAGTGGTAGACCTGCCAACAGGAAATCACAAGCAACGCACAGTGGCACAAAACGGTATCATTCTTATTTAAGAATATTAAGAATACTACAAATAAGATAAACAAGTTAATTTCTACATACAAAAAATAATAATAAAGTGACAAAAGATTTCGGTGAAATTTCTATTTCTAGATTGTGAAATATTTCTTTTTGTTAAGCCACCGAAAATATTTGACATATATGCATAGCAATTTTATTAAATAAATAAAATTAAATGTAACAACGTATTATTTTTCCACCTTTTATATGCAATTCCACTGCATCGAGGCGCAAGCTCAAATGAAAAACAAGTTTAGGCATAAAAAAAAAAAACTGGCAAAAATAAAGAAAAATATTTCTCCTTCCAAAACCGGTTTTACGTTCCCTTTGAATTCCTTCCATAAAGACTGTCTCTCATTCCCTAAAAGAGAGTCAGAGAGCCTTTAGATTATTTTAATTTTTATTACAAATTTATATATTTCTTGGCTATACAAAATGTACTAAAGTCATTGTCCTAATCCCTGTTTTTAATTAAAATATTAAAATATTAAATATCAGTTAAAAACACGAATACATTACCACCTTGAGGTTTCTCTTTCTGCCAAAGTCTACCTGGCACATAATGATTAATCTCAAAAATGGAGTCCCTTCCTAAAGGGGCGTCTCTAGAATGAAGATAATCTGAATCTTAATGGAGGTGATGTCTTAAATGAATTTTAAATATAAACATAAGAGAGTTTATATTAAAATTAACTAATCCCTAAAACATTATTGTAATAGATACTGAAAGTCGGAGCTATGGACGTTCGACTGTGTGGTGGAATTGTTGCTCTCATTGGGACAAACTTAAGAGAAAATGGAAGGTACCAACACAGTGACGAATGTGGTGTACAGGTGTAAGTAAAACCATACGCATACCAGTAGACGCTGCCACTCATACTACATCCATAAATGTGTGCGCAGGCGCAATGGATTTGATCAATGGAGTGAGTTCGACTCCCGCCCAGATATAACCAACAATAACAACCGGCGCGACGTGATGTCATGGCCGAACGCAGTTGCCATTCGGAGGATCTTAAATCATCTTCGGCCGGCCGGCAGAAAAGATCAGTAGCTGGAGTTTAAGTTGGACATGCGGCTGTTTTCCCAGAAGCTGGTAAGATGATGCAAAATGGTGAAATCAACATAAACTTATAAAATGTGATTGTGCTGGTGAAGTGTATTTGTGGGAACTTGCATAAACAAAAATTTTTAAAGCATTTTTAATTTGTGGGAACTTAATTTTCATAATGTTTTCAACTCAAGAAACTAAATGGAACTATTGAAAAGATAATTATTTAATGAAATATACAAGTATATCCACCAGAAGTGAATATATGTTAAGCAGAAAAAATGGGTCTAAAAGAGTCTTTAAATGTATGTATGTGTGTTCGGTTTCAGATATCTTAACCACGCTCGTCTACATTGCTGATGAACCTCAGGCTAACAAACACGTGGAGCTGATGGAAGTGGACCCGAAACCTGTACTTAAGATTCCCCAAAATCGTTTAAAGCTGCGGTTTCAAAATAAGGTTGTTTTAAGTATTTCAAAGGACAGAGCCACAGGAAAAGGATTTATAAATACAAGCCGAGAAAAGAGGCTGTTTTTAATTCGAAATCATGAGAAGAAAAACTATTCAAACCCTCGACAAATAAATAAATGTAGTCTTACTATATTTATATCTCCTTAAATTTTATTACATATATTTTAAATTTATATAATGTCGAATTAGCAATGAAAAAATATTGAAAGAATTTTTTTATTTTAATACTTCATCATATATTTCATTTAAATATATTTGTAAGCACATAAGAGTCTTTTACCATTCAGTATTATTGCTTCATTATAAACCAAATTCTTAAAAGTTCCAATTTATACCGCTATGAATGGTAATAAACACCAAAGTGCCATTAATGTATTCAAGTAAAAGTAAGATTATTCTTCAAGTAACTCAATTACTAAAAAATAGAATTTAAAAAATCAAATTAAACATCTATTATTATAGTGATAAATAAGTAATAAAAAATATATTTTCATTGTAAGGTCTATACATTTTTGTAATCTCTTTATTTCCTTTGTTTTTGAATATTCAATAAATAAGTGAAAAATCGAATTGAGGAGTGTGACTTTTGTAGGGGCCATATACTTAATTTATTTATTTATTCAAATCAATTTTCAATTCAATTTTTTTAATATATAATTTGGACAACAAGTCTCTGAAACGAAAGTACATATGTACATATATCGCCAATACGACAATTTTCAATATTTAAATGATTGCCAACTAGAAAGGAATTTAACTTCGGGACGCCGAATTTTATATCCACTTAAAGTCTGTAAGTTGAGAATTAAAATTTAATCAACATTCTTATACAAATTGGCAGCTACATATTGATATTCATATTCAGTAATTTAAATTTTAATACAGATCGATAGATTTTAATTTGTTCATTTTATATTTTAAAACTTGTTTATACATTTACCGATTTTTCCTATCGTTGGTATAAGAAATAATCTTGCAATGTTCGTATAACTAAAAAGGAAATTCTTATATAATACTAAGTGCAATCGCTGAGTGTACATATGTATATGTCGGGGAACTGTGTTTTTTTCGGTCATTATTGAACTAGAAGATACCGTCTGCCTTTGCTGCCTAATCCGGCATAACGCCACTTTAACCTTTTGCCCTCTGTCCTTGTTCTGTTATCATGTTCAACTCTCATTGCGCCGGCGCAGCGGCCACACTTGCTTGGCTACACTACTTCGAAGACCCGAGAATGTCGAATAATGCTGTTGCCAAGGCAACGCGCTTTCCTGAGCGCATTCCGGAGCACATTCCTTAGCATGACTGAAAAATTTACACTTAGCAACGAAGAAATAATTCGAAGACGAAATTATAATTTTGTTTGTTTTTATTTAACAATCATTCTTAGTCATAAGGTATGGTGGTACATACATACTACCTAAAAAGTGTCATTCAGATGCTTAGCTTTAAAACTGATAAGACTAGTTTGCTGCCTTTAAATATACTTTATAAAGTCGAAAATAGTACATTGCAAGGGTATAATAAGGGAATTGTGTTCGTTCCTTCTGCGTAAAATCATAGCAAAGGCACAACAAACTGCTGATCACTCAATTGTTCACTGAAGCACACATTTGCAAGAACGGTATTCCACTTATGTATTTATTTTGCCCTCAGAGGGTGAGGGTTAACATATATGTATTGTCTGTGAATGTGAGTGCCACAGACAGTCTGTCATTCAGCACTTTGCCGCTTCATTAGCCAACAGACAATTGGCACAAACTGCCTGATTACAATACAAATGTCAGCCGGCAAATTTGCTTTGACATTGAAGGAAAAAGTACTTGTTTTGCTCACCTATTTAAGTTAAAGAAAAATTAAAGAAAGTTTATGGAAATACGGTTAAAAAGATAGGAAGAATTTGAAGTTACGAAGAAGAACTGGCAAACAGGAAAGTCGATTCTTGTCGTCTGCGGGTAAATAGCAAGCCAACAAACCGAAAAACCGAAGTAGCAGGGCAACCAGAAACCGTGGCTCACGGGGCGTATGTGTGATGGACAGCTGGATGACTTCGTTCTTGTTGATTTTGGCACGCTTCTTGTGTTGTTCTTGCACTCATTGTTTGCTGTTTGCTGCCAACGCACGTGCCATTAAGCCAGCAACCACCCACCACCCTTATGGCACCTGTTCGGCAGCCATGTATGTAATTGATAAAAGGATTTATGTTGCTCCCAATTTAGCGAGCCTGAATAAGCCTTTTTGGAGAACACCTCCGAATCATTAGCAAGACAAATTTATGCAACGCAAAAAAGAAATCTTGATTGGAATTTATGTGTAAACCGGAAAAGTATACACTGCCAGAAATGATGTTATCTGGTTTATTTTTTTTACAAGTAAATATCTATATTTAAGATCCATTGTAGACAGCATTGTTTTTCGTTTTGAAACAATTGAAATTTTAAATTTGTTATTAGTATTTAAATTAGATTATTATTTATAAAGCTAATTAATATTTTTTCAAATTATAACGAAAAGAAATAGAATCGAATCCAGCATTCGAAACTCACAATCCATTTGAGCCACTTATTTCAAGTGTCTGGAAACCACTCAGCTGTGTAGTTTTTAACTTAGACATACAGCAAGCGAATTAACTACCGCAAAATGGTTTTCCCGGCTTGTAATCCGCAAGCTGAAAAAGGAAAGGACGCAGGACCAAAGACGCTGCCACCTGCCAGTCAGGACTCTGCCACCTTTTCTGTGTGCTCTGCGCAGATTAGTCAAATTGGTTTTCGCCATCCCTCCGTTGCTAGGCAGATTCCCATGTTCACGCCCCGAGATCAACTCCGCGACAGCCTCAAGTTAGCCGCTGATGGCCAAGTTATTTACTTTCCGAGCCCCGAGAGCCATTCACGTCTGCCAAGGCTGACAAATTGAGGGCTTCACTTTGATGGCAACAAAGGATGTTGAAGGCAGGACCAGTGTTGGCATCTTTTTTTTCGAGCGACAAAAATGTCAAATTAAAATTAAAGTTAAATTAACACAGCATATTAACCCTTTTTTAATATTTTTAGTACTTTTTTCATGAGAAATAAAAGGTTTACTTTATCCGGAATAAGACATTTTTAAAAGTAAAGTTTTCTGAACTTTTTTTTACTAATATGTAGAGCCCTAATTTATCTCGTATTTTTCACGAAATTATTCTCAAAATTAAGGCAAACTCATAAAAAGGATACTGTCGAAAAAGAAAGACGGCTGTCTTGACTCAACATGTTGCTGGACCCTGATTAACCCAAGGGTGAGAAACCCTTGGCTGAGTCTCGGGGAAAAAAGTGCGAAAGGTTCTATCATAAATTGTGCTCAACTTGGAATTGAATTGTCTAATTAGGCGGGCCTAGCAACATTTGCTAATTGCTTATAAATTGTTAACTGCTTTCAAACAGCTGACAGGCGACAAAGGGTTAATGACGACGACTGCCAAAGGATCCCAGAGGGGAAACAGTGGATATCCACACGCGTCCCTCAACGTGGCCAAAGCAATTAGCAAGCGAAACAAATGACCATTTTGTGTTAATTAGCGGATTGCCTTCCATTTTCGGGTGGTATGGGTGATATTGGATGGTGGCTGCTGGACACCCCAGTTCCGGGGTGGTGATGAGTGACGGGCGGATTGGTGTGTTTGGCCTGCTGCGGTTGATTAGCATTGACAACTAATCGCATTGACCGTGTTTAGCTACTCGTAGTTAATAGCCTTCGAGCTCTGATTAAGATTGAGTTAGTGGGAAATTGACAGCCCTTCTAAAAGGAATTGCAACGTGGAGTTTCGTGATTGGAAAAATTTAATTAAAGTTCCAAGCTCAATCTCCGGTACCCCTTCATCACCACCTAGAGCTGCAATCAATCACAGAAATTAAAAATATTCACTTAAGTCTCGGGGTAAAAGGAGACGGGAAAGCAAAGACAAAAGAAAGGAAACAAAAAAATCGGATTAAAGAGGAGTGAAAAATGCTTCCGTTTTTTTTTTTCGTCGTCTAAAATAGTCTAAGGGGTGATTTCTACCCTCAGTGTGGTAGGGAAAAGATAGACAGACTATAAAAGAATATTAACAGATAAAGTTATTGTCAAGCAAATCGGTTCCCTACCCTATATACTATACATAAAACAGAGTTGAGCTGCTCTTTCCATCGTCAGTTGGATCTTTGTAATCAAATGTCCGTTTATCTCCCTGTTTTTTGTACATAAATATAATAAAAATAATATATTTATATACCATTGCATTTGACATAAAAACCAATAAGCATATATAAATTAAATATATAAAACACCTCCTCTTCAAAATAGATTTATCTTCGGTTTGCACAAAGAGAAGACTGAAGTATTGGCTGCGACTTGCCCAGGGAACATTTCATTCTCCAATCGTTTGCACACACTTTCGAGTAATTGTCGATTACCGGCAGGAGAAGGGGGAAGGGTCCTTTTGTTTGCTCTTTGCTTGAAACTGACGTCTGCTATAAGCCAAACCCCAAACCGCCCCTAGCAATGGCCAATAAAAACTCAATTGTCTTTGATTTCTTAGTTTGGACAATGATTAATTTGTATTTCGGGAAAGGCGATTAACAATATCATTGATCTTGGCTAGATTTACTTTCAGTGTGAGAGCTTGCCATATTGTATGTACACGGAAACTTCAAGATTGTTCGCAAAAACATCAGTAAAAGCGCGCTCCGAGAGCACTAAATGTTAGAATGGATCTGCTTAAATATATAACTATTAACTATGCGAAAACTTAATGCTAAGAGAAACATAGTCTGCCTAATATCCGGTGGTTGCATTCTTCCTTCTCGAAGTTCCACTCGCTTTTCCGAGTGGCTCACTTCTCTGATCCACCGGTTTCAGTTTACTTTAGCAGGTAATCCATCTCTGACTTGGTTGTGGACATGTACACATCCAGCTCCTTGTCCAAATCTTCGCGTTTCACTTCTGGTCGCTGGGCTTTGCCTAGTGGGGGGACAAAAGTAAAACATTATTAGCAAATTGTGGCTTGGAATTAAAAAAAAAATGGAAGAAGTATGTTGGTTTTTAAGTGATGATGCCCAGAGATCCAGTCCGGTTGCTCTCCTGGCCACCTTTCACGCTTTTACCTGTGGACGGCTTGCGACTACGACTGCGTCCCCGGCGAGCCTGTTGCTGCGGTCCCGGGCCCTGTTTCCCTTTATTGGCCGCCTTTCCCTTGCCATTCTTGTTGGTGTTACCATTTCTGTTGCTATTCTTGTTGTTATTAGAGTTGTTGTTGTTGCCCTTGGCAGCGGCCGCACTGCGTCCACGTCGCTGGCGAGGCTTGGCCCGGCGGCCCGATGTGGTAGCAACGGCAGCGACAGCGGCAGCAGTTACAGCAGCAGCGCGATTGCGAGAGCGTGAGCGCCGCGCGGAGGCGGGGGCGGAGCCAGCACCAGCACCGCCACCCTTAGCAGCAGCAGCAGAATTCCTGGTAGCAGATCTAGAAAGAAATAGAAAAAAACCATTGTCAGTATTTTATTTTAATAGAAATAATTTCCTATTAGCTCACCTTCCGCGTTGTGGTCCCCGACGTCCAGCGAGTGAGGCGGATATACCCTTTTTCTGGGTGTTCTGGCCGTTGCGACGCTTCTCGACCCGTCCACCGGCCACGCCCCGAAGCTGGCTTGATGCCCTCTGCTGTCTTGGGTTCTTAGTTTGATTTGACTGACCGGGACGCACACCCAAACGGTACTTGACCGAAAGACGCTGCTTGACCGGGACACGCCCCTGGGCGGAGCGGTCGCGATTGTTACCGCGATTGCGGCTCTGGGAACGCCCAGCACTGCTGCGTCCACGGCTCTGGGAACGACCCCTTTCTACCCGCGGCGCCTGCGGCAGCCTAGAACGGGATCTTGAACGAGAGCGTCCGCGTAATGTCTGCTGTTGCTGCTGCTGCTGCTGCTGTCGCTGACGGCGCTCGACGCGCTCTGCAGCGCCGCCTACAGAGGGCCGGCGTTGTCCCAGCCGCTGACGGAGTCCACCGCCACCGCCTCCGCCAGAAGCGGGTAAACGGCGGTTGGCGCTGCCGCTGCGACGATTCCGGCCAATATTGCCATTGGCCACGAGATCGGCGCGCATCCTGAGCGATTAACGAAGAAGTACAGAGATGTTGCAGTTGATTGGGTTTGCTTTAGCGCAATTATAGTCGAAGATGCTTACGTTGCTACCCGGGTCACGTTGTTGGACCGAATGGGCTTTCCATTGGGCGCCAGGCGCATCGACTTCACGCCACCGACGCGTACTCCGCGTCCGATCACGGCCGTGTTCCGTAAGCTTCTCTGTAAGGAGGCATAAGGTTGTGGATGGATTTTTTGGTTTCAATACGCAGCTGCACAGTGTTGGAGTTCAAGTTCAAAGGAGAGAGAGATAGAGAGTCTGAGAGGCTGGAGAAGGTTCGGGGATCACGCAGAAGGCGCAATTTATCTCAACAGCAATGTCCGACTCCATCTCCTCCAGGGTTAATCCCAGCAACTGCTTTCAACTAGAGGAATCTGCTCGGTTGCCGCTCGTGTTTGTAATGTTCGGATATTTGTTTTTTGTTTGGGAGACACGTACGCGCTTCAGCTTGAGGGCCGTCTGGACGGTGTGCCGACGCTTGAACTCCTGCAGCAAGCGGGAATTGGCCGCCGAAACTCCCGGACTCCCGGCGTTACTGTCCACAATGCGGCGGCTCCTGCTTCTGGAGCGGCTACGTCCGCGTCCCTGCGGCTGCGGCTTCTGCGTCTGCATCTGCGTGAAGCGCTCGTTCAGTGAAATGCCAGTGTGCACCATGATTATTTTTATTCGAGTGTGTGTTCTATATCGCGATCCTTAAAATCTGTGATTTTTCTTAATTTTTCCTTTTCGACAGTTGAACTGCTTAAATCGGTGACTTGCCGGGTTGAAACTTGGTTTGCAACTGAAAAGTCAAAGGAAAATGCGTTGAGTTTTATATTCGAGCAGGTAGAAAGGCAACTAGGATATGTGATATGTGATATATTCAGGTAGCTCAAGGACAGGTTATGCCAGCTGACAGCCATAAACGCTAAGCTCACGCAAAGGTTTCCTAGCAAAATCCATCAATAAATCTGCAGCTGCAACGCTAGGGTAGACATGTGGAAAATCAGACAGTAGCAACCCCTTATAAACAATACAGTGGTGGAAAATGAATTATATATACCTATTTTACATTAGCTAATATTAGTGAGTCTACAAAATATTTTAGAAAGTCTATTAGTTATCAGCATTATTTATTTCAAACTCATAAAACTAAATTTTTTATTTAACATGTGTTTTATGTTCCTATTTGTATTTTGGAGATATTATTTTGTCCTCGACTGTATCCCCATATTGCTGGTTACCTCTTAACACTCCCCACTGTATTCTAATAATAGCATGCTTCAACATGAAATTTTTGACGCGAGAGGCTGAATCACTACCGGAATTGGGGTCATATTTATTTATACAAAATTCGAATTACATAAAGAAAATTTGATTGTTTTTCTACTCACTTTTTCGACGCCTTTTGCGTCGCAGCTTCACTTTTCCCTGGCCTGCAATTGGGACTTCCAGCAAACTTTTTCGCCCCGTTTCAGTTCTGGTTGCGATTTTCACAACTCAAAATCAATGAATAATGGTGATTTGTCCTCGGAATATTGTGTTTGCCGTTGATGGGTTTCAATAAACTATGTTTTCCACACTAATTCCAGTTTTTTCACGCAGTCTGCTAACAAAGATGTATCACAAATGTACAGGCGATTAGGCGAATTCCGATTTCCTAACGCGTCCACCACAAACTGAGAAAAATACTATATTTTTGCTTCCAATATTAGGGGTACTCGTGTTATAAATTATATGGAAACTACATGTGGAATGGTATTTTATATATATTAAATAAGAGCTCTACGGAGGAGTAAAACTGTTTCCAAAAATATTTTTTTATTATTTATTTTATTGAACAACTCGAAGCCGCCTAAATCGAAGAGCAATCTGTTTTTTTCTGCCAAATAAAATACTAAATCGTCAATACGCCATCCCTGGACTCAGATAACTGGCTTGACGCCCTGACAGCCGCAAAAGCAGGGTTGTCACTGGCCGTCAGCTATAATGAACTCCTACGGTTTGTAGACAGAATTAAAACTTGAATTTAACTGCTTTCCCACAAGAAATCACCAACACAAAAGGAGCGACAGCCTGCCGCCATTGCCCCGCCGCCCGTCGATCATTTTACGAGCCGCTTTTTGTTCGCTATTTTCGTTCTTTGGCCCCCCCTTCAATTCGCCGCGCGTCCCATACATTTTGTTCTTGCATTTTGCACAGTGTATATTATTATTATTATTATTTATTTGTGTGTTATTTGTTTAGTGTGAATTTTCGTTTACAAATTCGATGGTGCACCAGAACACACAGCCACATCCACATAGCACCACACTGAAAGAAAGAAAACCCAGAAACCCAACCCGACACCGAAACTGAATAGACGCAAAGACCGAACCAACGAGACCCTTTCCACAAACAAGTCCAAAATGGCCAAAATGTACGGAAAGGGTAAGAGTAAGTACACGCCAAACACGCGCACTTTTCCATTGCAAAAACTAACATCTACTGACACAACCGCCTGGCATGCAAAAAATCTTCTGATAACTGCTTTCCACCCAATCCTAATGCTTCCCCATGTCTTTTCTGTAGCGGCGATCGAGTCGGAGGAGCAGCAGAAGCGGCGCTGGCAGATTGAGCTGGAGTTCGTGCAGTGTTTGTCCAACCCGAACTATCTTAACTGTAAGTTTACCGTTGAGAAACTTGAAGTCCAATTTTAATAAAAAATTCTCAATTTTACAGTCCTCGCCCAGCGTGGATTCTTCAAGGACCAGTCGTTCATCAACTACCTAAAGTATCTGCAGTACTGGAAGGAGCCTGACTATGCCAAATACCTCATGTACCCAATGTGCCTCTACTTCCTCGACTTGCTTCAGTACGAGCATTTTCGTCGCGAGATAGTCAATTCGCAATGCTGCAAATTCATAGATGATCAGGCCATACTGCAGTGGCAGCACTACACTCGGAAACGGATCAAGCTGATCGAGAATGTGACGGCCGCCCATCAGCAGCAGCAGCAGCAACAACAGCAGCAGGCAAACGGCGGCGAGGCAGCAACGGGAGGTGAAGCGGCAGCTGCAACTCCCAATGGGAATGGCGCAGCTGCCACCGCCGATGGCAGCCAACAGGCAACGACCACCGCTTCCCAGTCTGTCCAGGGTCAAGTAGGGAATTCTCAGCAGCAGCAGCAGCAACAAATCAATGGTTTGGCCACAGGGGCCAACGTTAAACTAGAATTAAACTAGCTACCGGAAACAAAAAGTTTAAAAATAAATTAGTCTAAGAAGAAGGAGCATGATGTATGTTTTTTCATTGCAGGCTAACCATTTCGAGTTTTTATTATACTTTAGAAGGATAAGCTCCTCGTTTGAATGTTCTCAGATGAGCTTTTTCTGTTACTCTCTTTCAATAACCACTGATGGTGAGCGCTAAAACATAAATCTGTAATAATATTTATAGCAAGCAGATGTCTCCTTTTGGTGTTGATTGGTCTTTGGTTGATTTCAGTTCCCAGCTCATTTTAACACTCGTCTCCAGATTAATCACAGCTTTCTCACAATTCACAGACACCCAGACTAGAGCTCTTGTGGAGCCTGATGAGGAAGCCATTGCCCGGAAGGGTCACTTTTACGGCGTATATTTGCTCTGCAGCCAGAGCCTGGATCCACGCTACCGTGGAAAATGCTATGTGGGCTTCACCGTAAACCCGCAACGTCGGATCCGACAACATAACCGTGGCTGCGACTTTGGCGGAGCCAAGAAAACCAGCCGAAAAGGACCCTGGCAGATGGTGATGATTGTGCACGGTTTTCCCAACAACATTGTGGCTCTTCAGTTTGAGTGGGCATGGCAGCAGCCATCACTTTCCACCCGGCTAAAGATCTTTCCGGAATTGAAGCGCAAAAAGCCCAGAGAAGCCCACTTTGACTATAACTTTAGGATCCTTAGTCGAATGCTATGCGTGGGGCCGTGGAATCGGTTGACTCTGACAGTTCGCTGGCTGGAAACAGACTACGAGAGGGGCTTCGAAGTATCGCTGCCCAAACAAATTGAGATTGTGAGTGGTAAGGTTACCATTACCGCCTCGCAGCGGAAGAGAGGCGGGACTGCAGAGGCTCCTACACCGATTGCCTGGGCTCCCGAGTGTCACTTATGCATGCAAGTCATCGATCAGCCGGAGCGATCTCGTTTGGGTTGTACGAATCCCACTTGTCGGCTCACATGTCACATGTTGTGCCTGGCAAATTATCTTTTGGGCGATGAACCCGGTCACTATATCCCAGTTGGAGGAGAATGTCCGCTGTGCGAGACTCGTCTCAGTTGGTCGGCCCTGCTTCAGCGAAAGCGTCTGCTGTTGGGCGTGCCAGAGGAGCCGCAGGATCGGGATGAGGCAGAGGAAGACCTAAGCGATGCACCCGACGTAGACAGCGACGTCGAGGAGCTGGAGCCGGAATCGGAATCGAGCGATTGAAAGGAGAGTGCTACAGTATTTTACAGGAGATTTTTCTCTGAAGCTTAAACTTTTTCTATTGGATCATAAACACAAATTTAATTAGTTTTTGGATCGTTTAAATTTGATTTTTTTTTAAATTTGCACTTTTTTTTACAATTTTTTTATACAACTTAAATGTAAGTAAAATTATTATGTCTATCTTAAAGTGAAGAAAACATTTTAAAAATTTCTTTTGGCTTTTTTAAGCTAGGCCAAAACAGATCTTGCGAAAATATATATGTACTTATTCCTATTTGGCTTGGGGCTTCAATGACTTCTTCTTAACGAAACTTAAACCCTGTGCAGTTTTCTGAGTCATCGTATCAGAGATCCAACCTAGACACCTGATCTTTTATACTACGGAGAGTCCTTTTGTATTCTTCTACCAGCTTGGCCATCTTCCGCTTTTCAAGCATATAAAACTCCATCGACATTTGAACATACTCCTCACCCTTAAACTGAAACACGGACACCTCGGAGGTATCGATAGCTTCTATCTGGTCCGGGCCAAAATCCGCAGGAGAAGAAATTTCCGTACTAGGAGGTTCTCTCGCAACTTGAGGGACGTTTGTTGATTCCCTTGGGCGTTTAGCCGCGGGCGATTCCAAGTTGGTTTCAACTAAAGTTTTTTCATAACATTACTTGTTAGCGGCAATGATTTTGTTCACTTACTTTTCTCCCCCATATCCTTTTTGGGTTCCATTGATGTGGACACTGCCTCCAGTATAAGTTCATCGAGCTCTTCGTCGCTCAATTCAATGGAGAGGTCTGCCTGCGCTGCGGAGCACTCTTCGTCCTGATCGGTATCCTTCTCATTTATGTATGGAAACGGTACCGCCTCGCCCACAAGCAGTGTTCGGTTCTTGTTGCTCGATATAAACTTTGTATCAAAGTGCTTGGAGCACAAAAACCGCTGGTTTTGTGGAATCTTTGGATGCACCTGGGCATTCTCAAGCCAGATGCGGACCCTCTCCGGCTGTTTGGGAAAGGAGAACATTGTCCATTCCCCTTTAGCTACCGGAGAGCCGTGGACGGAGTAGTAATACCCACAATCTTTGTAGACGCAGCATCTTGTAGCCATTATTCGTAATTTGTTAAATTTGAGTTTCGTTTCCAGTGTTGAGCAGTAGTCGAATATTCCCACTTTAGAGATGGACCCCAGATGCGCGACATAGTGTTGAGCAACGTGTTTACGTAATAATACTCTAACTTGACAATCTGGCAACTCCGGCCAGTAACGGGACTATTTCATTTTTCTTTTATCTTTCTATTCTCGCATTCTTTGCAAGTTTCTTTTATGTTTATAATTATTATCTGTTCGCAAGCGACCTTTCAACTATGTTTGTGCGCGCCAAGATTGGGCTGGACACCAGCATGTCAGTATCCAATTTCGACATTGAGGATAGTGTGGATCTGACCCCCAAAAAGAGGAACAAGAACCGGCTCTCGTCCGTCGGAGGAGCTGCCGCCGCCTGCGAGGGATTCATGGTGACCTACCAGGAATACTGCGAGCACACCTCGATCCACGGCGTGCAATACCTGGGCGAGCGGCAGCGACCGATACCGGAGCGAATCTTCTGGCTAATCGCGTTCCTCATCTCGATCTGTGGTTGCTCCATGCTGATTACCAGTGCCTACACTAAGTGGACGGAGACGCCAGTGATCGTGAGCTTTGCCGAGAAGTCGACGCCCGTGTGGAATATCCCGTTTCCGGCGGTCACTGTGTGCTCGGAAACCAAGCGGGTGCTGAAGCAAAAAGGCAAGGAGACCACCTATGCGGATCTGTATAGCCAATTCAGCGAGGACGTGCGAGCCTCGCGAATCTTTAAACCTCAAAATGTAAGCGCCTTGGAGATGGAGGAGTTCCGGACCCTGCTGCATGTATGCAATACCCAGGTCATTGATGAGGATTTGCCATTGATTGCCGGTGATGATTTGGACTACTTTGAAGTGCTCGAGCGGATGCTGCCACAGTTCGATAGATATTTCTTCTACTGTCGATGGTTAAGCCGTTTCGGGGAATGCGAGAAGTTCTTCCGCAAGACCCTTACCGAGGAGGGCATATGCTATACATTCAATGGATTGCGGGCCACAGAAATTTATCGGGAGGACACGTATCAATACCAGCATAGTGGGGAGGTTTTGGAAATGGAAAACATTAGCTCAAGGCACTCTCCGTGGACGCTGGAATCCGGCTATGCGCACAGCAGCGATGTGGAAACATTTCCGGCCAGGGTTCTCAGCGCTGGCGCAAGGTCGGGAATATTCCTGGCACTCCAGAGCTTCAAACAGGAGGTGGACTATGCCTGCCGAGGACCGGTGCAGGGGTTTAAGGTGGGAGTTTATTTATATTTGTTTAATTTCAATTAAAATCCGGCGTGTCCCTAGGTGCTGCTCCACGCCCCTGACGATGTGCCGCAGGTATCGAAGCAGTTTGTGCGCATTCCCATGGGCAAGGAGGTGTTGATCGCGGTGAAGCCGAGCATGATCACCATGTCGTCGGGCATCGCAGAGTATCATCCGCTGCGAAGACAGTGCTTTCTGAGTCAGGAACGTTCGCTGCGCTTCTTCAAGGTGTACACTGAATCCAATTGCCAGCTGGAATGCCTGGCCAATTTCACCCTGACTAAATGTGGATGCGTCAAGTTCTCGATGCCTCGGAATATGGACATGCCGGTGTGCGGCGAGGACAAAATCCATTGCTACGAACGTGCGGAGAGGCAGTTGCTCGTCAGGGAGTTCAAAAGGGTAAGAGCACTGAACGCCGCACGCGAGGACTGGCGAGGCGTGGAGTCAGCCTGCAATTGCATGCCCGCCTGCACGTCGCTCGTCTACAACACCGAGATCTCGCAGGCCAACTTCGATCTGGAGGAGATGCTTTTGGCTGAGGGCGACACCGAGTTCCTGAAGGAGTATCCCGGTTCGCAGTTGTCCCGCCTGTCCATTTACTTTAAGCAGAGCCAGTTCATTACCTCGAAGCGATCGGAGCTGTATGGCATGACCGAGTTCTTGGCCAATTGCGGCGGCATCTTCGGCCTCTTCATGGGCTTCTCCATTCTGAGCATGGTCGAAATGATCTACCACTTTACCTTGCGGCTCTTCACAAACCTGAAGCGCCTGGCCAAGGATCAGGAGCAGTAATACAGTAATGCCTTATCTCGCACAAATTGATTTTGTACGGCGAATAATGGAAACCTTGTTAAACTGTCTTTTGTAATTTATTTTTTTATGTTGGGTTTTTCTTTGGTAAACGCAAAATATGTGAAAATATTATTTAAGTGTTCTCTGCAAATTTAAAGTTAAACAAATTGTACTTTTAGTTAATAGTTTTTATGTACCCATGTTTTTTTAGATGCTGTTTAAAATTGAAAAAAAAAAGTTAATATTCAATTTTTTTCTAATACAATTAGGAAAAAATCAAATTTTCCGATCCGTTACATTATTTTCTTAAATATTTGGTCTTAATTTTGACTTTAAAAAATGTAAAAATACATATGTAAAAAAATTCAAGAATGTCTGGCAGCTCTGTGGATGCCAAGTGGCATCTCGAATTGGGCAACCCTTTGGCTGTTCGCGTGCCCGCCAAAAGCCGACGGTTTTTATCGATAAGAACTGCAGTGTTGCCACCGGCGCCGCAACGAAATTTCTAGCGTGCTTCGGGAATTCCATTAAATAGAGCATCAGATTAATAATAACTAATTAATTAGGCAGCAACAGCGATCATTACCACTCCCGCCCCACCCGAGAATCCGTCATTCCGAGAGCTAGTGCTGAAGCGAGCGGGCAGTGCGCGAAAGTTTCCGACGTTTTGACAACCCACAGAGTTGTTCTGCTCTTTTTAAGGCGGCCGCCGTCGCGTCAAGACTGACACTGAAGAGAAAATCGTGGTTTTCACGGAGCGCTTGTGTTTTGTTTCATTTGAAGTCAGATAAAATAAAATGGCAGCGGATCAGGTTCAGTTCCAGCAGCTCCTCGTCTCCCTCCTGTCCACGGACAACAATGTTCGTCAGCAGGCCGAGGTGAGTGTGTGTGTTACATTTTACAGCCCTGCCCCCGCTGGCCGCGGGTGGGGCGGGGGATCTGCACGTCAAAAATATGGCCCTCGGATTTTGCAATGCGCAATTTGCAGAAAGTGCACATAGTACACTTGGCGGATTTTGCGTGTCTGCTGCCGTGCCATCTACGAGAGGATTGGCCGGCAATCCAAATATTTTTCGGCAGAATTTCTGCCTGAATCATCGCAGCTCACACACAAAACGTGTTTTCGCCCTCCGCTTTGTCATTCACGTTCGCATGCTGTTGCGGGCCTGCTGGCGCTTGTATGAGTGAGCTAGTATGTGTGTGAGCGTTTGCGAAAGAGAATGGCGGAGGAGGGATGTGCGAAGCAGGCAGACAAAGCAAAATCGAAATCAAAAAGATATTTGTACAATTTGCATGGCCGCCACATGATTTTTGATTTGAATGATGGGCGCAAAACGGAAACAAAGAGCAGGTGCAAAAATAATCCATGACACATAGTCTGTGAAAATGCAATCTGTTTTGGGTGATAAGGCGACCGGATTGTATTCCGGCGCCACATGGCACCGCCCCAGCTCACCCCACCACATTTAGCGCTGACCTTGAGCGCCAGCCGCCCACGGAAACCACCTGCAGTTATGGTACCGCCTTTATTTACCTTGGTGGCGGGGCACCAGTTATGTGCCAAAAATACACATGTTCATAATCCAGCAGTTCTCTTTGTTTTCCTGTTCTCATTCAGAGAAAACTAATCCTAATTGATTTGTCGTAATTCTATTAATTATTGATCAATACAAAAAAATAAACAAAATATTCCTGAATATATAAAAATTACAAATAGTAAAAAACTGTAAATTCGAATTATTTAATCCATTCTTTTCCATATTATTACAGGAGACCTATAACAATCTTGCTAGGGAGCTGAAGGTGACGCACCTTTTGGGCAACATCCAAAATGGTCAGCAATCGGAGGAGGCGCGGCAGATGGCCGCCGTGCTGTTGCGCCGACTGTTCACCACTGAGTTCATGGAGTTCTACAAAGAGGTTAGCGAAAAAGAGTAAATAGTTCCCGTTCCAAAACTAACGTCCATTTTACTTGTAGATTCCCGCCGAGTCCCAGAATCAGCTGCTACAGCAGATCCTGTTGGCTGTGCAGCAGGATGTGACTCCCCAGTTGAGACGCAAGATCTGCGAGGTGGTGGCCGAGGTGGCCAGGAATCTGATTGACGAGGAATGCAACAACCAGTGGCCGGATGTCCTCCAGTTCCTCTTCCAGTGCGCCAATTCGCCCAATCCCCAGTTGCAGGAATCGGCCCTGCGCATCTTTACCAGCGTGCCCTCGATCTTTGGCAACCAGGAGGCCCAGTACATCGAGCTGATTAAGCAGATGCTGGCCAAGAGTATGGACGCCAGCTCCGATGCGGAGGTGCGAGTCCAGGCTGTGCGTGCCGTGGGCGCCTTCATTCTCTTCCATGACAAGGAGAAGGAAGCAGCCATTTACAAGCACTTCGCGGATATGCTGCCCCGCATGATCCATATCACGGGGGAGACGATCGAGGCCCAGGATGACCAAAGCCTGCTTAAGCTTCTCATCGACATGACCGAGAACTGCCCGAAGTTCCTGCGCCCCCAGCTAGAGTTCATCTTCGAGGTCTGCATGAAGGTGTTCAGCTCACAAGACTTTGAGGACAGCTGGCGCCACCTTGTCCTGGAGGTGATGGTCTCGCTGGCAGAGAATGCCCCGGCGATGGTGCGGAAGCGGGCTGATAAGTATATCGTTGCCCTGATCCCTCTAGTCCTGCAGATGATGACGGACTTGGATGAGGACGAGAATTGGTCCACCACCGATGTGGTCGACGACGACGATCACAGTGATAACAATGTGATTGCCGAGTCCTCGCTCGATCGCCTCGCGTGCGGATTAGGCGGCAAGGTTGTCCTGCCGCACGTGATGGCTTCCCTGCCGGCGATGTTGAGCCATGCCGATTGGAAGCATCGCTTTGCAGCCCTCATGGCCATCTCGGCCATCGGTGAGGGTTGCCACAAGCAGATGGAGGCCATTCTGGACGAGGTTATGACCGGAGTCCTCAACTTCCTGATAGATCCCCATCCCCGCGTGCGCTACGCCGCCTGCAACGCCATCGGCCAAATGTCAACCGACTTTGCACCCACATTCGAGAAGAAGTTCCACAGCCAGGTGAGTAAAATACATTATTAGCCTTAATTTTTTCCGAATACTAAACGCAACGATTTGCAAATGTAAATTCGTAATAAAATGGTTTGCCAATTGGTAAATTTTAATTAGAAATCTGTCTGCAGTTTGTCGCTATAAACGCTGTGTACACATTTGTAAATAATCAATTCACACATTGTAAACAAACGTTTTGCAAGTATATAAACAAAGATTCGTGCACAATTCCGTTAAATTGTTTACTTTTCCACACGAGCGCCGTGTTCGTTTAAAATCCCATTTCGCTATTCCCATGCCAGGTGTTGAAACAGAAACCTCTGAAACCTGATCACCAATGTATATAAATTTGTTTTTAACTTTTCCGAAATGCTAGAATTTAATATAACTAACCTTTAACATTTCCAGGTGATTCCCGGTCTGCTGTCCCTGCTGGATGATGTGGAAAATCCACGTGTGCAAGCTCACGCCGGCGCCGCTCTGGTCAATTTCAGCGAGGACTGCCCGAAGAACATATTGACACGCTACCTGAATGGGATTATGGACAAGCTGGAATCGATTCTCAACTCAAAGTTCAAGGAACTGGTGGAAAAGGGCAACAAGCTTGTGTTGGAGCAGGTGGTGACCACCATTGCATCGGTGGCAGATACCTGCGAGGCGGAATTCGTAGCCTACTACGATCGCTTGATGCCGTGCCTAAAGTTCATCATTCAGAATGCCAACTCGGATGATCTGCGCATGCTGCGCGGCAAGACCATTGAATGTGTCAGCCTGATTGGCTTGGCCGTCGGCCGGGAGAAGTTCATCGGCGATGCTGGCGAGATTATGGACATGCTGCTGGTTAACCACACTGAGGGCGGAGAGCTGGCCGATGATGATCCGCAAACGTCTTACTTGATCACGGCCTGGGCTCGCATGTGCAAGATCCTGGGCAAGCAATTCGAGCAGTATCTGCCCGTGGTAATGGGTCCAGTCATGCGAACGGCTACCATGAAGCCAGAGGTGGCCATGCTGGACAACGACGAGGTGGAGGACATTGAGGGGGATGTGGACTGGTCTTTCATCAACCTCGGAGAGCAGCAGAACTTTGCCATTCGCACAGCTGGTATGGATGACAAGGCCTCCGCCTGCGAGATGTTGGTCTGCTATGCCCGGGAGCTCAAGGAAGGATTCGCCGAGTACGCCGAAGAGGTGGTGCGCCAGATGGTGCCCATGCTGAAGTTCTACTTCCACGACGGCGTCCGCACGGCGGCAGCCGAGTCGTTGCCATACCTCCTCGACTGCGCCAAGATCAAGGGACCGCAGTATCTGGAGGGCATGTGGCTGTACATTTATCCGGAGCTGCTCAAGGTCATTAACACGGAGCCGGAGCCGGAGGTGCAGACAGAACTGCTTAACTCGCTGGCCAAGTGCATCGAGACCCTGGGACCCAATTGCCTAAACGAGGAAGCCATGAAGCAGGTGCTCGACATTATTAACAAGTACGTCGTTGAGCATTTCGAGCGCGCAGACAAGCGTTTAGCCGCTCGCAACGAAGAGGACTATGACGATGGAGTCGAGGAGGAGCTGGCCGAGCAGGACGACACAGATGTGTACATTCTGTCAAAGATTGTGGACATTACGCACGCCCTCTTCCAGACGAATCAGGCCAATTTCCTGCCAGCCTTTGACCAGGTGGCACAGCACTTTGTCAAGCTGCTGGATCCCAGCCGATCGGCAGCCGATCACCAGTGGGGCGTGTGCGTTTTTGATGATTTAATCGGTAGGTGTCTATGTTTTGGATTTGTTTATAATTTCCAATTAAAACCACATTGTTATCTTGCTTTTTTCAGAATTCTGCGGCCCTGCTTGCGCACCCTACCAGCAGATTTTCACACCAGCTCTGTTGCAGTACGTCTGCGATAAGTCGCCAGAGGTGCGCCAGGCGGCCGCCTACGGATGCGGAATGCTCGGCCAGTTTGCCGGCGAACAGTTCGCAATGACATGCGCCCAGATCATTCCACTGCTGGTGCAGATCATCAACGATCCCAAGTCCCGCGAAATTGAAAATATCAATGCCACTGAGAACGCGATCTCGGCCTTTACGAAGATCCTGAAGTACAACAAATCAGCGCTTACCAACGTGGACGAGCTGATTGCGACGTATTTCTCGTTTTTGCCCGTTTCCGAGGATGGAGAGGAGGCCGTCCATATCTATGGCTACCTGTGCGACTTGATCGAGGGCAATCACCCGGTGATCCTCGGTGCCAACAACTGCAATCTGCCGCGCATTGTCTCCATCATTGCCGAGGCCTTCTGCACCAAGGTTGTGGAGGCACAAAGCCAGATAGGCACCCGTATGCTCACCATTGTCAAGCAGGTGGAGTCCAATCCGGATGTGATGGCGGCCTGTGCCAGCACCCTTAGTCCGGAGCAGCAGCAGGCCCTGCAGGATGCCTATCGGGAGTTGGCGAGCGTGGCTACCGCCTAAGCTAACTCTGTGGCTCTCCCGATCTGGGCAAGCTCCAGTTTATCGTTATTATTTTCATCTGATGACCGACTTTGGCGTCGCAAATGCATTATGAAATATTCGTTAAAAAAAAAAAAAAAACATACACGCATACTTACATATATATATATATATATATATATATGTGTACGATAGAGTTATCCGGGATATATAATTCTATATATAATGTGATTTCAATCAAAAGATCTTCTCTCCCGAAGAATAAAGTCTGCGCCTCCTTAGAATTTGACATGTTGTATGATGGACCGCATCCCTGGGCCATTGCAACATCACACACAAATTCCAATAGAATATTTTCTTTACTCAAGTTTTCATATGTTGTATATACATATGTGTGTATATTCGGCCCCCACGGCCGCCACCTGCTCCCTCTAAACGAAACAAAAAAAAGAACAGGATGTGAATGTCGTCCGAATCGACCGAAAAGTTTAATTTTGGCATTAAATTTATAGATCCCAAAAATATTTAAAGGAAATAACATTTAATATTTTATTTTAAAAAGATGATAAGAACGAAATAAATAACACGTCAAACGAAATTTTAATTGATTTGTCCGCATTTTTCATTTGGTATCATAAATATTGTAGAGCCAGAAACCTTATATAAGAAATATATAAATTGGCATAAAACAAAAATTCTATGGCGTTACCCATTATGTTATTACAAGGTTTGTGGTAGAACAAACGACTGTGTTCATAAAAAAAAGAAGTATAAAGTCTGGTCACGAATAATTAATTGGAATAAATTATTCTTTGATGTGACTACCATACAATATATTCAAAGAAACATATAACATATGTAAATATGTACGTCAATTTAGTAGCCTTCTGCACACTTAATGCTTTTATGGGTTTCCCAAATCCTAATTTAATTAAAGTAAGTACGTTTTTGAACATTTTCATGGCGATCAGTTTAATGATATAGTTAAATTAACACCACAATTCGGAAAGAATAAGAATAATAAGATATTCCTATCTAACTCCGGCAAATAGGTAGTTAAAAATTCGTATATATTTATGGAATATTTGAGAAAAGGACCTAATTTTTTTTTTTATAGTATTTTTTATAGATTTCAAGGAATAGCTTTTCATTTCGCGATCTTTTTAACTAAGCCATTAATTTTTTGTTTTAATTTAAAGATGGTTTCTATGACAGCTATAAGATAAGTCGTCCGATTTTCATAAAATTTAAATCGAAATTCTAGCCTAAGAAATTTAAAATTTGTCTGATTGTTCCTATGACAACTAAAAGATATAGTCGTCTGATCCGGAAATATACAGTAATGAAAACAATCAAAAGACTATATGCGAAATTTCATATTTACAGCATTGCAAACTTCTAGTAAAATTATAATTGCAAAGGTATAAAAATGGGCACATCTTCAAAATAAAAATATGCTGAAAAACAAAGTTTATATTTTTTATGATTTTTCTGACCATCTATGTATATACTTGATATTTATATAATAAAATAACCGCTATTAAATTTGTATTTATTGAAACTTAAAAGAATGATGATTTTCTGTCAGCCCAGTCTGCACGTGCGCAGACCCCCTGAACATCTGATGCGAGTCGCAAGGAAAAATAAAAGCAAAACAAAAGTGAAAAAGACGCAGAAATTCCACAACTTGAATAAATAATGCTAATTTGTTTATACTATTTACGAATTTAAGCTACTTTTTTTAGTAAGAATGACAAAATCATAAGCGAGAAACGGAAAAATCAGGCTTATAAGCAATGTAATGTAATGTAAGTAACCAAGTTGCGAAATCAAATCCGTGACGAAATATAAAAAGTGAACGTGTTTATTGTTTTTAGCTCGGTGACTTGGTGGGCAAAGTGCACGGATCTGTATCTGTTCCAATCGCAGCACAGCGACTAGAAGAAATCTCAGTTGAAAACAAATCCCAAAGGTGAGTGCAACAGGTGGGCGTGAAAAATCGGATGGAATTAAACGCAGAAGAGCGGAAGCAATTTCGCTTGGTTGGCCACAATTCAATTTTGAGCGGCGCCAGCAGCTGCTGCTGTCCCCACGAAATTTCAAGAGATTCCGAGGAGAGCAGACGCAGCTGCAGCGGTCTTGTTGACCAATTCGATGACGCATCCCGCTGGTCGGAAAAGTGGATTGCTCTTGGCCCTTTTAGTTTGCCTACGTTAGTCAGATCGCCAGGATGAATCTCTGTCACCATGTCGGTTCATACCACCGGAAACCAACTCTTTGAATTAAAACTAAGTGTTTTTATTTATTTCAGATACTCAACGCCATAATGTCGGAGGAAACTGAATTCCTGGAGGCCTATGCTCGCATCCAAGTAGCATACAAGGCAGCTATGACCCAGGTGGAGCTGGCCATTAACCACGAGGAGCAGGGGTCACAAGTACAAGCCATCGATGCCTATGCACTAGCCTTACAAATGATAGAGGATACTTTCGGAATCCCTGTTGGCCTGCCTGATGAGATAGACGCAGTGCAGACGGAATGGAACGACGCCTGTGCCCTTATCCAAAAACTAAAAAGCGCCAAGACAGAGGTCAGCTATCGAATGAAGGTGCTCCGATCCCAGAACCAACCCGTTGACGATACTGCCGTGGAGGCCAAGGAGGACAATCGCTCGGTAGTGGATGCTGGCAGGCCATGGCTGGCAGAGAATCCCTCCACCCATTACGATATAACCAATGCCAGTGGCACACCGAAAACCTACAGGGAGCTGGCTGCCGGATTGCGGGAACTATTGGCTGTTCGGGACTCCCATGCCCAGCTGGATGAGCTCTTCCGTGCCCAGGTGAAGATCTACAGGATTGAAGCTAGTGGAGCTGTGACCACTATTAGTGGATCCTCCACCATGTCGCTGGTCATGTGCACGGTGGGCGGAAAATGGAAGTACCTCAGTGGAATTTATTTCATCCAATGCTCCATGCCGAACGAGGACCCGGGAATGATCTGGCTGTACCCACTGGTACCCTCGATCACCAACTGCTATCGCACCGAGTATGGAGCGTTCATTTTCCCGGATATGGAGTGCCAACAGCCGGGAAATGCCTTTGGCTTAATGCTGACCAAGGAAGGCCAACGTCCACTGAGCACTACAGCCGGGGAATCGGAGGAGGAGCAGCTGCAGGATCTGCAGCAGTTCTTCCTTGATCTCCTGGAGGCTGTGCTCGCTGGCACGGTGGAGCAGTTGAAATCTCCGACCTCCCAACGTGCAGGCCTCGGTTCCGATACCACTACGGGTTCGGAGCAGGTGTCTAGACACATTGTAAGTGCGGCTGATTTCATTGCCCGGAATTTGGTGAAAGGCGCCGAGAAAACGGGTGGGCTCATGATGCGGAGCACTCCCTATCTCATCTCCAAGATGACCCCCGCCTCGGCCGATGCTCCTACCCAGGTGCCCAGCTCAGTGCAGACTTCAGGTGAGTCTTAATCGAGTATCAATTTGGAAGTAATGTATATAAACTTTATTGTCTTTTAATTTCTGCAGTGGAAGTCGCCCAGAAAGTGACCCACGCAGCGGCTGGGATGACAGGCTGGATAGCTGGGAAGGTGGGCACCGCCTCAATGGCCGTGGGTCGTTACTTAGCTCCACACATCCAGGAGCAGGGATCAAAGCTGTTGCAAAAAGGCTTCGGCTACGAAAGCAGCGAGGCAAACAGCACAATGGAAGGCGCATTGACCATTGCAGCGGGAGCAGTCGAAGGAGTCAGTACCGTATTTGATGGCCTGGAGACTTCAGCAAAGATTCTGGGATGCAGTCTCAGCGAGAACTCCGTCAAGATCATTGAGCACAAGTAAGTCAATCTAATATTTTGATGACAACTAAAAGTATGCAATACAAACAATTGCTTTTTTAGATACGGACAGCGGGCCGGAAATCTGGCCAGTGGAACCTTTGATGCAGTGGGCAATGCCTTTGTAGTCAGCCAGAACGTAAACTACATTACCCCTAAAGGTATTGCCAAGAAGATGGTCAAACGGACGGGAGAGGCTGTGGTTAGCGACTACAAACGCGACTTACGCAAATCGGAATCTCATTATATTAATGCCGGAGCTTTGTATCCGGATCTGCGGGCTTTGAAGGAGTAGCCCCTTACCAAAGATATTCTCCAAATACATAATCGTTGATATTGATATTCATTGATAAACATTTATAAATAATTTATATAATAGCCTGATTTTAGCTTTTCTCGAACACTAGTTCATTATGCAAAATAAAACTACCATTTATTGTTATACAGCTTAATTCTATTAAATTTCTAGTCTATCGAGATGTATTGAATGTGGAATTGAATTTTAGACAAAATAATGACAATTATTTTAGCTAAACTAGCACTAACTCAATCAAATTAGGGGTAAGGTTATGCTAATTTGTTAACATATTTTAAAATTTTTGAGATATAAGGGCCGATTATGAAAAAGGTAATCTTGACCATGTTCATTTTTTATAATTTATTTTTCATCTTACTTCTTAGGAAGTACTCCTAAATAAATTTTAAAGTAAAGTGCTTACAATTTGAAATAAAATTAAAAAGCTATGGGTTTTCTACCTTTAAATTTATATTTTTTGGTTTTTGTTATTTGTATTATTATATTTTAAAGTCTTATTTGTGGTCTTTTCCCCTTTTTTAATTTGGTATAAAAATTGTTATGTTAGTGTGCCCAGCTGCCATGGTAGAAATACACCGTTATATATCCGGCGAGTCTCGGCATTTCAAACGGAAAACCTGTTGGGCACACTGCCCGAGGAGGCTTTTAACAACAAATTAAACAATAACTAAATGTTGCCGCGTTCGGACGTGAGTTGTGAGTTGCGGATGATCGCCACTTCGTGATTGGCACGGTAAATTATAAATAAATACAAGAAAAGTGAACAATATTTGGTTCTCGTTCGGGTTAGTGCGTGGTTCGCAGAATCTTTTATTTGTTTTCGATCGCGTTAAATTGAAATTACTGTGAAATTATTGCACCTGTTTAATGGAAATTATTGTGAATTTGTCGGCGGTCTAATTATTGTCTGCGTGTGTGTGTGGGTGTGGGCTGCCTTATTTGCTGTGTGTGAGTGTTGAGTGAGTGCCGTTTTTATTTTGTTGGAAAACTGAAACGGAAAAAAGTGAATAATATACAGAAATTAAAGTTTGTTGCACATTTTACGACATAGAGGAAAATTATTATCCGCTACCCAATACCAGTTTAAACCACTACATATACAAGGGGCAGCCAGCAAACAACAGCGACTGTCGCTTGTGGCCAACAGCAAAAGCAACAAAAACAACAACTACAGTTCTAACAACAGTACACAAACAACAAACACGTTTTCCGTTCCTTTTTTTCTGCTTCGCGTTTTCGCCTGCCTGTGTGTGTGTGAGATGCTGTGTGTGAGGGTGTGAGTGTGTACGTGTTGCTCGTCTGCGTATAGAAATTTCTAATGATTTTTGGTTGTGTCCCCCCTGAAAAAAGCAGCTCCAAACAACAACAACAACTATTGGGACTCTATTGAGAGTGCGTGATTTTCGTAACCTGCATATCTCAATTTTTTTTTGGTAAAAAACCACTGCAGCAGCTAAGGAAATAGATAAAACAGTTTCGAATTTGTGTGGTGAGTATATAAAACAATAATGAACTATTTTATTAAATGTACTGTTTTTTACAGTATTCAAAAACAATAAAATTTAAAAGATATTTTACTAAAAGTTAATGTTGGAAATAATAATGATTGTACTGACTTGAAATTGGTGGTAATATTTACCACAAAATTAATTAAATAACTTAAAATATTTCGATTATCTATTTTTGAATTATTCCTTGCTTAAAACTTGTTACGATATTTAAATTTTTATAAAGTGATGTGGATTATTAATTATTCGTTAAATACCTCATCTTTACATTCTTTCAATACTTGCCTAAAAATGGAAAGAGTATGTCGTTTTAATAATTTTAATTAATAAAAATTTGATGATTAAAATTAAGGGTCTTGACAATCCTCATGCTTCAGGCCAAACAAACCCTGATAAAAAAAAAAATTTACAATTTGTACATACTTCTTTACTGTTGTAATAGTTACCATTGAATTCGGTGTACCCCGAATACTTATTTAAAAAATCAAATTAAGCTCAAGTCTACACAAAGATTGCAATATTTTATACTAACAGAGAATTCTAAAAATATAAATATTTTGTTGAGTTTTGTTTTTGAGTAAATATTTTAGTATCGTGTTCCCTAAAAGTTTAGGTTTCGTTTTCTGTTGCTTTTCAAAGCACCTGCTTATTTATTTAGCGTTTCTCGTTAGGACATCCTAAACTATGGATGCAAAGGTAAAATATATTTCTTTAAGTTATATAATTTTATTCAGCTTGACTTCTGATTCAGCTCTAAAAGATTCCTGTACTGAATACAACAATAACAGCGAAATATAGTATTGTAAAACCTAGATTCAGGGACTTACCTCCGGTTATTATGAGTATACTTCTCCGATTTATTCACAGATTTTATAGTTTTGCGTTTTGAGTATTCCCTTAAACTGCCAATACCTCACGAATATATTTTTAAAACATTTTTCACACATTTGACACGAGTTTCTGTGCCTGCCTGCTTGTTCGTCTGATTTTCCTCCGACATTTTCACTTTGCATGCCAAAAAATATCGTCAGCACTTAAACTATGTAGCTGCGTTTAGGCGCCTGGTCATTTATTTTTGATATCATCGTCATCACCTGAGCAACAGGTTTTTAGCTAATAAGGTAATGGCAAAAAAAAGATGAAGAAACGAAGAAAAAATGGCTAAATTATAATCGAAAGAAAAAATCCATCATTGGAAAGTTGATTTGATTGCATTTGCGGAATGCAGTTGCCAGGGTTGCCTAGTTGTGCGACAGGGCGACGCATTTTTCGCCAGCCGAGCACTTGGCTAATATTTCAGGTCTCTTCATGCTTCATTTGATTTTCGAGCGGCCGGGCCAACTTTCGCAACAAATCCGCTGACAAGGGCGATTGGATTCGATTGTATCAGATCGGATGGGTTGCTGGGTGATGGTTTAGGTATAGTATGGAATCCGATGGGATGGAATAGGAGAAAGGCATTCGAATTGAGCGGTATAGATTACACACGCCCGTCGACACTCTCCAACTAAAATGAGTGTATCTTCTCTAGTAAAACTTTCCTAATCTGAACTTGGGAAGCTTTAAAAAAGTATTGAGAAATCTTTTGATAATGCTGAAAAACTATTACCAATTTCTATACTATCCACAATATTGGGAAGGAGTTGCATAAGTTCCAGTCATTTTTCTTTGCTTAAAAATTTAATATTAAGCATACGCATTTAAAGAGCTTTAGTACGATTAAAGTTTTTAAATCATAATATTTTGCTAAATTTAAAACTCTTCCAAAGGTATTTAATCACTTTTCAAGTTAGTCTTACAATTTCATTTATATTTCTGTAATTTTTCAAGTGTAGGGTGGCGGCATTCGAAGGTTTCCCGGTGGCCACAAGCTTTTTCCGCTCTCTGTTTCTAGTGCCACCCACTATAGCCGTAATAAATCGCTCCGGGTGACAGTCTCTCAAGTGGTTGGCCACTTTTTGCTGCAATTGGCAGTCGGGAGAGTGGGGGCCTTGCTCCCACGCCGCGAGGTTCGGGGACATTACACAATTATCCAAAAGCATTTCCCCAAGCGGATAAGTTTTTCCAAGCCCCACACATGAAAATCAATTCCTGCCTCCCCTTAAAGTCAGCTCCCCTGCACAGAAAGAAAGTTTTTATAGTAATTTTCAATTTTCATATTGGAATTGATTGAAAATCATAGGTCTAAGATGACCATCAACGATATTCTTTATTTTGACAACTGTTTTTATTCAATTATAACAACAAATTATACATTTAAAATGATAATATTTTTTCTTGTGTAGCTTCCCTCTTCTATTGACGTTGGTTATTTTCTTTGCCGTCTGTTTTTCGCTTTTCTTTCCGCTGCTGCTGCTGCTGTTTTGTTTATGCTTTTCCCATCTTATTGTTTTTGCGCGCCTCGTGCGTCAATTTATGTGAGTTCAGTTCGCCTGCAAGACGGAAGCGCTTCTTAATGATACAAATAATAGTAGCCGCAGCCAGCGGCAGCTGGAAAACCCGAGGAAAAAGGGTGCCCCGGCAGCTTTTTGCATTTTCCCTCGCACCCCATCGCCCACCATTCCGCTCCACGGAAAACTCCCCGTGGAAAATTGGCGCCGCTGCTGCTCAAAACTCGTTTGCCGCATAATTTCCAAAGTTGCAATTTTCATTTTTTATGGCCATTTGTCGTGGAGTTGTTTTTGTCTGTTTTTTTTTTTTGTTTCTCAGCTGCTGTATTTTTTACATTTCAACTGAAAGTGTTTGCAAGATTTTTTTTCCTCCTGAACCATTTTCTTCTGGCCGTTGAGGTAATCAGAATTACATAGAAGGAAACGCTGCATTTTCATTATATTTTGTAAGTTTGCCCCCTATTATGACTGAACTTTTATGAATACTGAGAGTCAGAGTACTTGGAATTCAGTGAAATCCTCTGGCAGTTTCCATGAAATTCCCGAGTTTGACCCTAGGTGTTAAGTTTTAAATAACCTATAAGTCTATTTCTTGCCAATCACTGATCTTTCTCGTAATCTAATATAGGATTTAGGAAATTAAAATTAATTAATTTTCAACTCAATCTGGGATTGACTTAATGGTTTGAATCTTCCCTTCTTTGGGGCACCTTGTATCCGATTTCGTAACAATTTCTGGTTTACTCTCCAGTCTTTCATAACCGCCCACAAGCACTTGCCACTGCCAACACCGTATTACCACCACCATAGTTTTCTGGGCCCAGTTTGGGCTTGTCTCTTACCTGTTCCACCGCCAAGCACAAGTGACACTTGTGCAATTATTGTACAAAATGTTTATTGTCCACTCCGGGAAGCGGCTGTGTGTGTGAAGTACGGCAGAGTAGAACCCACTTGGATGGTCGGGTTGTTGCTGCGAAACGAATTGTTTTATTTTCCACTGATGTTCCATGCTTTTCATGACTGTCTTTTGCCGACGTCACCGTCACCGGCACAACAATGCCTGGGTATTTAGTGAAAATGCTCGGTGTGCGGCGCGTAGCGGTGGCAGAGCTCGCTTATTAACTTACCTGTTATTCCAACCATTTTCAGTTTTTCACACGCACGCAGATCTGGAAAATGGAAAATGCACTTGCCTGTGGATTAGTTCGCCCTCGCTGGGATTTCTTTTGTCCGTCCCGCTTTCCCGCTCCCGCTTTCCTCAATGAACACGAACGGAAATGCCTCGGGGGGTGATTTCTTTTCAGACGTTCAGTTGCAATACACGTAGAAAAATAATTGTGGTACTTAAATTATAAATAGAGTACCATGAGTATTAAAGAGACAGTTTTTCTTACGGTTCAATACTTTCAAGTAAACCAACAAGGTTACAAAATTAAATGTATAATAATTTATTAACTAAATAATTCATAGTCAAACTGTTTTAACAGAAAGGTATAAAGTTTATACTTTTTTTTTCTTGTGTCCCATGCTGTTTGCTTGGCCTAAAAAAAGGGATGTTCCCTAGAACTGTTTCTTTTTTTTGGTCCCTTTTGAATTTTGAGCCAGGGCGTAGACAATTTGAGCTCCTATCAAGATCTAGTAAATTGACGGCGCCCAATGCCTATTTATTAGTTCGTATTCGTGACTATACTGTATAATTAAAATGCAACCTGATTGTTAACTTCGGTCTTTGGGATTCTGCCGGCTGCTTATCATTAAAGCGCGATTAGTTTCGAAGCTTGATTTAATGGCTCGCCTTGAGAGAAGAGATTTGTTCGATTTTTAATGAGTTGGACTTGTTGGTTCGTAATCAGAGCGGCGATCATCTTATTAGCGTCGGTTTGAATTAATAGTTATGATCTTGAAAAGATTCCCCCTTGCCACAGGAAATAATTTAAAGAATTAAACTGAACTCATTAATGTCCCCAAGGATGTGTATGCCACTAATTGAAAATTTTAAATACATAAACATTTGGCTTATTGCAGTTGTGGGGCTTCACAACTCCCCTCAGACAGTTGTCAAATATGGTTGCCTGATAGCTTTTATTTCACCAGCAACCCACTCAAAGGATACATTCCTATATATACATATTTATATGTGTGTGTGAGTGTGAAATTTGTATATAAGTGCCATGTATATAGAATACAAACTGTTGACCTAGCTCCAAGAGCACTGGCAAAATTAATTGCCACAGGCATTTGTTGTGTGTATAACGCACAAAAGTTGAGAGTTGGTTGGGTTCTGTATCCAAATGTGTGGAATAACAGTAGCAAGTTAACAGAGCTTAAAAATGCACAGAATAAAAGAAACAGTTCTAGTACAGCTATTTAATTTATAAAGTTACTGTATTACCCCAAATAATGTAAGCCACCCTCAACCAGTGATTAACCTATTAAGTTTTAAATATTTCATTAATATAAGATACACATTCCATACCGCTCCAAGTTCTCCTTATTCTTCTTTGAGTGTATATTTATCATACGTTTGAGATATATTCGAAAATATAACCACCTCCACGATTGTTAGTGAATATTTAAATTTATTCAAAATA